ACAAAAAAACACAAAGGAAAGTGACAACCAGTATAATATGTTCCAGCTCATAATACAACATCAGTACACGCCCACACTAATGTCACAGACACAAGGAGTATAAATACGTGGAACAACACAACCTAGAACAGTAAAAACAACACAGTGAGCCACAAACACATACAGGACAACATTAAAGGTAGGACGAAATAACAGAAGTTTTTACAAAACATAATAGGATTGATGAAATAATACAATATACCCATAATATATTTGCAGAACCCTCTTCTCAAGAATGACAAGGTGGCACACATTCAGCCACCGTCAAAAGAAATAATAAGAGGGACGACACGAACCAGCTTGGTTTACGAATTCCAATAGAATCTTAACAAACTAACTATAAACATTTTAAAGTATTGGAACAGCTGCTGTAGTTGTAAAGACTTAAGATTTTACAGCCAATTATATATTATTTATATTGTATGTATATATTTTAACCTTTAGAACATATACAGTAATGGTGGCCTCTAACAGTATTGATGTAAAGGTGTCCCTCTGAAGATGGTCTCTGAAGACTAAAACATGTAAGGGCATGAATAATTGAAGTAAGAAAATCTTAACAAGTCACACTGGACAGAACTATTGAACTTTTTCATAATATTAGTGTGACAGACCAGAATGAAACAAATCAAAAGCAGTATTATTTTGAAATCTCAAATAGGTTCTCAGCTTTGGAAAACTTAGACACTGAGGTGGATATTAATAGAGCTGGGGAGGCTGTTAGAGAGAATATCAAAATTTCTGCCAAAGGGAGTTTGGGTTATTATGAATTGAACAAGCATAAGCTGTGGTTCAATGAAGGATTCTCAAAATTATTAGACCAAAGAAAACAAGCCGAATTGCACTGGTTATGGATGGGAATATCTGAAAGACAGAATTTATGAGCTTGCAACAAACAGTAAAAATAAGAACATTAGAGACCTGCATGGATGAATAAATTACTTTAAGAAGGGTTACCAACCTAGAAGTAACTTTGTGAAGGATGAGAATGGTGATCTGCTTGCAGATTCCAACAGCATTTTGAATAGGTGGAAGAACTACTCTCAGTTATTGAATGTACATAGGGTCAGTGATGTTAGGCAGATAGAAATACATACAACTGAGCGATTAGTACCCTTTTGAAGTTGGAAATTTTTATTGCTAAGTTGAATAGGTGTAAATCACCAGATAGTGATTAAATTCGGGCAGAACTGATTCAAGCAGGAGGTGAAATATTATGTTCTATGATCCATAAGCTAATTAATTCTATTTGGAATAAGGAAGAATTGCCTGATCAGTGGAAGGAGTCTTGTCGCGTGTTGCCTATGTAATGCAACCAATTCACGTGGGTCTCGGATTTGGCTAAGACATTTATTGGACAATCTCTGTTACACACACGCTTACATTTATTATTAACTTATAACTTCCTTTAGACATTTCCTCTTCACTCTTGCAATTATTTGCACTGCTGATCGTAGTGAAGTGTCTTTCTGTCCTTTGTCGGATGTGAGCTTGCTTCTGCTCTAGTCAGAGCTACACTAAAAACTGACTGGTCTCATCGAAGCTGGACTCTTAAAACGTGACCTCGGACTAAATAGAGTGCACCATATTCAAGGGTTCGGTTTCACCTGCTGTTATGCAGCGAATGTGGGAGTGCATTAGCTGACATATTCTTTGCCATGGATATCCTTCCATCTCCTTGGTAACACATTTGTTGTTTAAGCTATTCCTAGGCAAAGCGCTGTTGGTATTCCATTCCCCCTGAAGTATACATGTTTATCGCAGCTGTTGTCATGCAGCTGCCTCAAACAATTTGTCGCTTATGTTTGCTAGCGTTTGAATTCCAAGGTGTTGCAGTAGGAATGCTGGTCAGTGGCTAGGAAATTAACTCTGACCTCCTCAACCATTCCGGCTTTCTGGCGGCATGTCACACTATTATTGTACCAGTTCACAAGAATGATGTTAAAACTGACTGTAGTAATTATTGGGGGATAAATCTGCTATGAGCTTCGTAAATAATTTTATCCATTATTATTATTATTCTCTCAAAGTTAAGTCCATGCATAGATTAAATTATTGGTGATTATCAGTGTGAGTTTTGATGTAACAAATAACTATTGATCAGATCTTTTGCATTCATCAGATACTGGAGAATAAATTGGAATACAATGAGACAGTACATCAGCTGTTTGTAGACTTCACGAAAGCCTATGATTCAGTTAGGAGGGAAGTATTGTAAAATATTCTGATAGAGTTTAGGGTACACATTAAACTAGTAGTTAAACTGATTAAAATGTGTTTGAACAAAATGTATAGTAAAGTCCGTATAGGTAAACATTTGTCTAATAACTTTCCTATCCAGAATGGTCTAAAACAAGGAGATGCTTTGTTACCACTGCTTTTCGACTTTGCTTTAGAATATGGCATTAGAAAGGTCCAGGAAAACCAGCTGGGACAGAAATTAAATGGGACACATCAGCTCTTGGTCTGTCATGATGATATGAATCTCCTGAGTGATAATATAAATAGCAACAAAGAAAAACACGCAAACTTTGACAGTAGTAAGGATGTCGGTCTAGAAGTAAACACAGAAAAATAATTAGCGTCCATTTGTCTATAATCCATCTAATTGCAACACTTTTTATTTTACACTTCAATACACTCTCTAACACTACATGTTTCGGCCTCAAACGACCATCTTCAGGTGTTTTTTTACAGATATTCAATTAATCATGTGTGTTAATTTTTCTTGTTTGAGGTACACTTTCTTCATTTCTTGTTGTAATTTTTGAATTATGGATTTTTCAATGTTATCCCATGTCTGTTGCCATATGTTTGCATTGTGTGTGTGGGCGTGGTACAGTTGTGTATTTAATTGTTCCTTCTTTTTATATAAGAATTTTATTTCGTTTTTTGTACGTAACGTTTGGGCTTGTGTTTGTGTTGTCTTAGCTGCTTCATTGTTTATTGATAATTTCATAATTGCGTATTTTGGTACGAGTCTTTTTTTCAAATAGGTTTTGTTGAAATTTATGTTCGCGTTACAGTGTAACAGTTTTCGTTTACAATTCATATAGTTATATATGCCTTTAGTATGGCTACTATTTATGATTCTGTATTTCAGCATCCTGTTGCAATTGTTCACATTAGTGTCCATTTTTCTATAATCCGTCTAAATTGCAACACTTTTTATTTTACACTTCAATACACTCTCTAACACTACATAATAATAATAATAATAATAATAATAACAAATAGAAAATAACATTAATATAGGAATTTATAAATTACAGATAACTAACGTGAGGAACAAGCTGCCAAGGAAAACATATTTTACGGAAATGTCAACACCCTGAGTGAAGCAAAGCAATAAGTAACATATTATAAAAGAATTTTATCTCATCTTAATTAAAAAGAAGACTACATCGTGTGGTTTTTTAAAATAAATTAGAACAGTGAAACAGTGTAACAGTTTCGACACAATCTTAATTGAATATCTGTAAAAAAACACCTGAAGATGGCTGTTTGAGGCCAAAACATGTAGTTTTAGAGAGTGTATTGAAGTGTAAAATAAAAAGTGTTGCAATTTAGACGGATTATAGACAAATGGACGCTAATGTGAACAATTGCAACAGGATGCTGAAATACAGAAACAGAAAACTAAGTATATGCTGCTGTTTTGTCACCAGAATACAGTGCAAAATCATGACATAGAGATAGCTAACAGATGTTTTGGAGAGGTGGTTAAGGTCAGATATTTGGGAATGACTATAACAAATCAAAACCTGATTCAGGAGGAAATTAAGAGGATCTTGAATTTACATAGTGCTTGCTGCCATTCAGCCCAGAACCTTTTGTCTTCTCATCTGCTGTCTAAAAGCATAAAAATTAGATAGACTTGAAAGGATTCTGACTATGGTGTATACTGTACAGAACTATTAGGCTTATTTTGGACTCTATCCAGTGTCTGGTATGTATAAGACAAAAACCACAACGTTTCGGAGACTGGATCTGTCTCCGTTCTCAGGTGGATGGGGCAGGATAGACCTACTCAGTTGGGCCTGTTAGAAAGAGCTAGTCTTAATGACTGTCTTATATATACCAGACGATGGATAGATTCCAAAATAAGCCTAATAGTTCTGTACATAAAGATTAGAATATACAGAACTAAATTATAGTTTTGTGCATTCTAATTTTTATGATCTTAGGCAGCCTGTGGTTCTATATGTGAAACTTGGTCTCTGACATTAAGGGAGGAACATTGACCGAGGGTGTTTGAGAACAGGGTACTGAGGAGGATATTTGGATCAAAGAAAGATGAAGTGAGGGGAGGTTGGAGAAAACTACATAATGAGGAGCTTCATAAATTGTACTTTTTTCTATGTATAATTAGAATGATCAAATCAAGGAGGACAAGGTGGGTCCGTGCATGTAGCATGAATGGGGGAGGCAAGGAATGTATATATGATATTGGTGGCAAAGCCAGAAAGAAAGAGACCAATAGGAAGACCAAGATGTAGGTGGGTGGATAATATTAATATGGATCTTAGAGAGATGGGATGGGATTGTATGGACTGGGTCAATGTGCCACAGGATAGGGACTAGTGGAGGGCTCTTGTGAACATGGTAATAAACCTTTCAGTTCCATAATATGGCTGGGAAGTTCTTGTGTAGCTGCACAATTGGCGGCTTCTCAAGAAGGGCTCAGCTCCATGATTGAGTAAGTTAGTGTGTGATTGATTGATTGATTGATTGAGGAGGTGGCTTCATGAGATTGTTCCTAATTTTTTTATGTTGTCCCATTCCAGCAGCAGTTTTTACAGTGTTTTGAAATAACTGAATAACCTCTCTCATTTTATCATATCTTCAGTGCGATGTGTTTGCAGTTGGTCTTCCAAATGGGATTTACCTACCAAGGTTTTGTGTTTATTCATTTGCCTTGTGTGTATTTATATAAATTATTTGTTTCTTTTTTTCTTCAGGAATTGTTTCTTGTAAAGGATGGGTTTGCTGACTGATCCAGGTGCTGGGAGTGGCAAGTTCACTCAACTCTTGGTGGCCTCTCATAATAAATTGTGTGTTGTACTGTACATTGGAGGAATAATATGGTTTATGATTTTAGCCCATGAACACTTCAATGCAGGTACACATTCATAAGCAGTCTTTCTTGAATAATTTTAAGCATAGAATGTCAGTTTTATGTATATACAAGATTATAAAGCATTTGTAGTAGCGTGCCAAGCATTATGAAGGATTTGAAGTTCTTGCAGTGGTTATGACTTCTGGGATATAATGTCATGTAGCCCATTGAACACTCTCTCTCAGAGAACCAAGGCAAGCTATTAGGAGCCATCAGTTTCCATTGGCTCTGTAAGGGAACCAGGGTGGACTGATAGACAAGAGAAGAGGGACAGGGTTTGTTCCTGAAAAGGGCTGTTTTAGCAGGTGAGAGTGTGTGGAAGTAATGTGGCTTACAGGCATGCAGTTGGGAATAAGAAGAATAAAGACATTTAAGGAAGTCCAGGGAAGTATAGAAAGGCTTAGAATTGATCCTGTAATAAAATATTTTAATACAAAATTTTAATAGATTTTATTGATTTAAATTAAGTGAACTACAGTATGTGCTATTTTAGCGCATACCAATTGACTACAAGTATGACATTTTAAATCATGAAGCGTGCAGTTGCATGTGCCATGAATGGAGAATGTTAGTGTAGTGTAGCGGTTTTAGCATAGTAAAACCCCTGAAGATGGCCGCTTAGGACCAGAACATGTTGTGTTGAATGTGAAAGTGTAAGAAAGAAGGAACAATTTGTTGCATTGTTGACTGACTGTGTAGTACAATAAACAGTCTTAGGATTGATGTTTGTCCAGAGAGGGCAGAGTTGGTGCCCCAGTAAGGCCAGTGTGCACATGCCTACATGGCATAGTGAAACTCACAGGTTGGCTTCCCAGGGCCCTTCTGTTTCTCTATAATCCCATGTTCTCACATGCTACATACTTTACTTGCACCTGCTTCATGTTGGTTTCTTGTTTGGCTTACTCTTCAACCCTGAAGATTAAGGGACATGTTCTTCTGAAACATTGATTGCTTTTCAGTGGACTGCATGATGGTTTATCCCAGAAGATAGAACTTTTGATAATAAACATTATATTTTATGTGGTTATCAAGGTCTAATCAGAGGATTTTTGCATGTAATATATTATGATAACAGGTACATATTTCTCTGAGAATGCTTTACTTCCTGGACTTGTGAAGGGTGAATTTGATGAAGATGCAGTAGCTAAGGTGTACCAATCTGAGCTTTTCGATGAGGCAGCCAGATACCCTGATGGAATACCATTCTCTTGGCTGCTTGCTAAATTTCGGCAGCTTAACCTGGATACATACACTCACAACTTCACACTTAACTCTCCATTGGGACTGGGTATGGTAAGAAATATTTACATCATCATCATTCTTGTCATTGTAATAATCCTCATCAGCAGCAGCTGGAGCAGCAGAAATAACAATCGCTGTTTTGTAGTCTGACGTAGCTAATCCATAATTCTTTAATTGGCCTGAAATTTAGTGATTGTAGGTTATATTTCCATGCACATGAGGCCTTTAGATGAAGATAAATTATGTGATATATATATATATATATATATACACACACATATGTATATTAGTTGGCTTAAGGATGTTCTGAATTAAAAAAACCAACCAGTTGAATGGAGCATAGTTCTACTTGTCAAGCAAGTAACAATGTCAGATTTGAGTTTTTCACAGCAGTGACTATGAAGAATGCCATCTTCTGGGATGTAGCGCTGTGTAGATCTTGTGTGAACTGATGTTTCAGAGGAATGTGTCAGCTCCATCTTCAGGGTAAAAAAATCTGCAAGCAAGAAACCAGCGGAGCAGGTGGCTGCAGACTAAGTCACCAGTCAAAAACACCCAGCTACATAAGAACAGGAAGGCAAGGAGAGTGGGCTACGTGGGAAATCAATAGAGAGGAGAGGGGAAGGGTCTGTCGAGATGGGCCAGCAGGTAGCAGGCCAGAGGGGATATTGACCCAATAGTCTTGAGGCTAAGCTGCCAAGCATGCATTGACCTGCATGGCCTTGTCGATCTGGCCTCATGTTCTGGAGGTTTCTTGAGGGAGCAGATAAGAGGCTTCCATGACTTGCTGAGATGCCGGTTCCTCACTTGCAGATTTTTCTGCCCTCCGGATTGAGGCGATACATTCCTCTGAAATATCAGTTCACACAAAATCTGCATGGCGCTACGTCCCAGAAGACGTCACTCTTCAAGCAAGTAGCTGTTGAACTGGTGAAGAAATTCCACTAGTTTAAGGAACCCATTTTTCGCTTAGTGTGAGGTTGAGTCCAACTGGGTCAACTCGGCTCAGTGGCCACTGATTGGCCTATTGTAGCCTGCCCCAGTTGATTATGATGATGGAGAATTTTGTGGAATGAAGATTGGCAGGGGAAACCGAAGTACTCAGAGAAAACCCGCCCCAGCACCATTTTGTCCACCACAAATCCCACTTGACCAGACCTAGGATCGAACCTGGGCCGCTGCAGTGGGAAGCCAGCAACTGACCGCTTGAGCTATGGCCCGGCCTTAAAGAACCCATAGATTCAGTACAATATCTGCAAGAGCCCTGCCACTTGTCCCCCATCTTGTGCCAAAATGCTTGCATTATAAAAGGCTGTAATGTTAGTTTGTTCACATTTTTTAATCACTTACTTACGCTGACCAGCCAAGTTTGAGAGATATTATATTTCAGCATCCTGTTGCATTCATACATCACTCAGCCTCATGTTTCTGTCTCTAATGCAACATAAACTTTTATTTTAAAATATTGTTACAATTGCACTTACATTTCTTAAAATGTAATTACAATCACATTTTATTTTACTGTTGCAACATGTTTCGGCCCTATAAGGCTACCCTCAGGCAACAGTTAATTGATTGAAACTGCCACACTTTCAGCTTGTATGTCACCGTACTTCTGTTCTGCTTTTGTTATGAATTGCCTCAAACTAATTCTAGGTTGTGTGGTTACCAAGCTGTTGCCATTCACATGATTTTGTTGGTTTGATGTGTGGCTGACCGCCAAACAAGAAGCTTCTGCTCCAACAAAAACTATTTTTAAAGATTTTGTACTTTTTCACAAATCTTCATTTTAATGATATATATACAGTGTCCATCTTGCAGTGCATCCACTTTTACTTGTCACTTCACAACATGTTTCGGCACCATAGTGCCATCATCAGGTGCTCCACTTACACTAATCTATTGCATTGCATGCCATTATGTCAATGTGAAATTATTTAAAAAGTATTTTAAAATATTCGTCAGTTATAATAATTTTTTTTGTATACTAAAATCTTGTTAAGATATTCATCTCATCTGTCCCAATTCAAAACCCGTGCATGGTTCCTCCACTATGGGAGTCATTCCTCTTATTATAACTGACGAATATTTTAAAATACTTTTTAAATAATTTCACATTGACATAATGGCATGCAATGCAATAGATTAGTGTAAGTGGAGCACCTGATGATGGCACTATGGTGCCAAAACATGTTGTGAAGTGACAAGTAAAAGTGGATGCACTGCAAGACGGACACTATGTATATCATGGACGAAAATCAGTGCAACAGGACGCTAAAATACAACTTCATTCTAATGACTTTTTGTTTTTGTGAATACATTTAGATCATTGAAATTTGTCTGAATGGCTTTTCATTATATCTCGTTCACAATGAATGTTTACAATCCCTTGCAGTTTGAACGGGAGAAAAATGAAATGATAATTAAAGTAAATGCAGAATGTGTATAAAAAAAGGAATAAAGTACTTTTATCCACATTTCTTTTCATAGTTGAAAAAAGATTGTACAAAAAATGTCACTAATAAAAGTAATGTGAAGGATTAAGGATTATATGCTGTGACTTACCATCACACTTATATAATATTAAGCAGGGGAGTTGTTGTGTCTTTAAATTTTATCATCATGAATTGAGAGTTCTGTAATGGATGTTCACTTTCCTTAAATAAGATTTCTTTGATATTTGACAGAAGTATACTGGGAAAAATATCTATGCAATTCTTCGTGCTCCCCGGAGTTCAAGCACCGAGGCATTGGTTTTGAGTGTCCCATATCGGCCACCGAGCAGTGTTCACCCTGGAACTGTTCCATCTGTAGCAATCATGCTTGCCCTTGCAAAGTTCTTCAGACGTGAGTTACACACTTTACCTTAGATTAGTTGAGGAATTCATAGAACTGATGAAGTAGGTCCTAGCATCATGTGGAAATACCTTTAAAAAATTATTACATTCAAAAGAGATCTACTCAAAGTAACACCTAATAAAATATATATGCATTCTAATTAATATTATTGGTCCACATTCAGTATGATGAATCTGGTTAAAAGACTGGGTATATTTAAGTACACGTACATTTAGGAAAAGAAAGGAATTTTGGAACTAACTTTAACTTCATTATGTTCATCCACATGTAACTCTGCTAAACTGTGATTGGTGGAGTTAAGATGAAACTGGGTGTCATAGAGCTGCACTGAATGTTGACAAACTTTCTTGAGTTTGGTTTGGTTTGATACATTCCAAGAGTAATTTTACTTATTGTCTTATATAAACTTATACTTGTGTATACCATTTTGAATCCTTTTAAGGGTAACTTTACTAANTAGATGAGTGTATGCACTGGAAGACGGTTGAAATAAATCATGGACTTAAATCAGTGCAACAGGATGCTAAAATATAACTTTACTAAAGAATTTCATAAACTTTTACTTGCATCTTTTTAGCCCTTTGATAGATTTTGATGTCAGTGAATATAGTAAGTATATAGCATATTGTATGATTATTACTATGTTGCATTTCAGTCAGTTTAAAGCCCACACGATTGAAGGGCATGTATACATTTATCAGCTTATTTTCCTGAGAGGAAGTTGCATGGAAGAAAAGTTGTAGGTAACTACAGACCGCATGTGTTATATCTTACATGATATCCAAACTGTCTATGGTCCTGTTTTTTTCCTCCAAAACTTCATGGCATCACATCCCAGAAGCACTCTTCATATTCATCATCATGAGAACCTCAAGTGCATCAGTATCATAGCTTGTTTATAATTAGCTTTCAGTTTCTTTGAAATCTAGGTTTGTAGACTTAACATGAGGCAACTCATAGCATTCATCCATTTAGAAGTGCATTTTGAATACATGTTGTATTCATGTTGCGTCAGAAGTATAGTGGAGAAAATGGTAATTAATAACATAGTTCAGATATAACAGCATCTGTATTAGAAGCAGATAATGCAAGTATCATACTAACATAATCTTGATAGGCATTTTAATGTTGGTGAAAGATATGTGACATTTTCGTGTTTCTGAGTATCTGTAGATGTATGATATTATTTAGGTCAGAAATACTGGTCGAAGGATGTGATATTTCTGGTGACTGAACATGAACAGTTGGGAGTACAAGCTTGGCTTGAGGCTTACCATAAAACCACTTGTGGGAGAAGTGGTGTGCTGGAGCATGGTGATATGATGGGTAGGGGTGGAGCAATACAGGTAATAAATAATAAGTCATCATTCATGGATATGGGTATATAACTTTGGAAAGTATAGCTAGTGATACCCAAACTGAATTCTATGTTTCTCTTCTTCCATAAAGCCTCTTTTAATATAGAAAGAAGTCCAGCCTAGAAAGGTGTGTTGTACTTGTCTGTTGTCTTTGTTCTGTAATGTTCTTGTGATGTTCTTGTGTATTACTTTTACTTCCACACATTGTACCTATAAATAACTATCTGTCTATATCTCTACAGTCATTTTTTTGTTGGACCTTGGCCACTTTTTCAGTTTCTTATACACAGTAGATAAGACTCTTTGGACAGGGGATCGGAATGTCGCAAGGTCGCTACCTACACACAGAACAACACAAATACAGAATAAATGCACACAGACATCCATGCCTTGGGGGGGTTTCAAACCCACAATCCTAGTGTTCGAGCGAGAGAAGACAGTTCATGCCTTAGACTGCGTGGCCACTGTGATGAGTGCTGAAGTAACTGCTCTATGTAATTAACTGTAATAAAGTGGGCCCTCCTACCCAATTTGTACTGGGGGCTATTTCTCCAGGGGGTAAAGCAGCTGGGGTCTGAAGCTGACAGTATACCTCTATCTAGTGCTGAGGTCAAGAATGGTGTAGCTATATCTTCACTCCCTCATATGTCCTTCATGGCATTGTCCTTAATTAATTGAGAGCAGAAACAGATCTGTTTTTACATAATTAACTAAATTCACTGGCTAATTTCTGTGGCAATACAAGGCACAGCGTAAACACTACCTAAACCAAAGTCTTCCAGCTGTCATGATCTTGATGTAGTGTTGAAGGGGCAGGTGCATGTCTGAAACACTCTCTTATGAGTACATTAGTGTCAAACTCGCCTTTGTCCCTTCTTCACAAGCACAACTCTTGAGAAGAGTGTCATGGAAGTATAAACATTACATCTCTTGTAGTCCAGAAAATATGAGATCCGAGGAGTATATGGCAGTGGTTTATGTTGGATTTGATTTGTTTCATGCTTTTACAGTCATGAAGAATACAAGTCATGTCAATTTTATGCAAAACTATGAAAAAAGGTATTAATTAAAATCAAAGAGTTAGATTTTACACTTCACTTCTTCCAACCTATTCGTTGAAGAATTTAATAACATTCTATCACTTCACATTTATCAAGTGGTCGCTTTTGAAGATGTTTTCCCACCGAAAAACCTTGTTAAACATATGTCTACCAATCTACCTAGTTAAGCTTTCAGATTTTCTTTTCACAGCCAAGACATCCCTGTTCCATATACAAAGACAGTTACATTTGGAAGGCCTATGTAATGTTAAAAATATCCCATCTTCCCGAGTCTGCAGAGCGCCTCTTTGAGCCAAGAGTACAATCTGTAGATGTGTGGAAAGTGACCAGATCTTTCCAGACAGTGACAGAGACATAGAGGCATTGTAGCCTGCAGGAAGATTAATTAAATGGGATGGTTATTAATGTCATTAGTGGCATCAGCAAATTGCACATGGCCACTTCTCCAACNTGACCAGTCCCTGCCCCTCAGGCAGAGTCCATTTGTATACATATGTTATCAATATATATTTATTTATATGTTTGAGGATGCCAGTTGTGTTTATGTGTACTTGTGCCGTATGTTCCATGCCAGCTTCTGACTAGCGGATCCGGCTGGCCTGGCCCATCGTCCTNTGTCCATTACATGAAAATGGAAGGCTTCAGAATTTATAAGCCAAAAGGGCAAAAAATACAATAAATATCTATATCTATGTGTGTGAAAGAGGGGGGGGGGCAGAGTATTTTGATCATGGAAACAGTCTGAAGAATGTGACAGATTTACATGTTTCTAGCTCCCCCCTGATGACAAAAAGTGGTTTTCTGTCCCCCCTGTGTATGGATGTTCACCACACTAGTACCTGNACAAGCAAGTCGTTTCTTGTGAGCCTGTCCCTTACCCATATAGAGTAGGGATTCACGGGTCTAAGTGGGTAGAAGAACGGGGTTCTCGACCCACATGTGGATGGACACAGCTCACTGCACAGTGAATCTAACCATTCCAGCTCTGAAATTATGGGCCTTTCAGATGGCATCTAGAACACAGAATTGCGATTTTCTCAGAAGTGTCTCAAGATTTGGTAAAATTTTAGTAATATATGGAGACCATCACCCTAAATAAAACAATGTAATTGGTATCATCAGAAAAATAATAATCTGCAAACTAGGGGCCCAGACCCAGAATATCGGTTTTGTGGAAACTGTCTTTACTGGCCAGGTGGATTTCATTATTCTTCAGTATTCAGTAATCAGCACAGGTTTACCAAGCAACAGTTTGTTTCATTCCCAACCTGACATAGTCAGGGTCAGTCATACATGAGAAAGTATGTGAAAGCCCTTCATAGTTAATAATCAGTTCACTGCTTTCATGTGTTTCAGATTTCTCATTGGGTCTTATATCTGAAACAAGATTTTTCTTGGATTGTACTATGAATTTGTTAAGACAGTGTTTATTTCTTCTCTTTATTTGTAAATTTCTGAAAGTGATAACAGTAGGAAAATTATGTTAAGCCATGATTTAATGCCTCCAGAAATGAATGTAACCCATTCCTATCCTGTCTCAAAGGTCTTCCAGTGTTATAATTTTCATGGATAGGTCCACTGTTGGATGTCTTCCACCTTCACCTCTTTACATTCTTTGACATTACTTCTCCTAGTCTGCATATAGAGACAACGATGACAGGAGTTTTATATTTTGTAACATTGAAGTGTGTATTTTTCTAATTTTTGCCAAAGAAAAAGAAGCCATAAAACNTACCTGTAGGAAAATTATGTTAAGCCATGATTTAATGCCTCCAGAAATGAATGTAACCCATTCCTATCCTGTCTCAAAGGTCTTCCAGTGTTATAATTTTCATGGATAGGTCCACTGTTGGATGTCTTCCACCTTCACCTCTTTACATTCTTACTCTTCATTTACTTTTGAACTCTACTGGCCCATTTAAATCATTAAGTGAATGCCATATTTGTTTTTCTACATTTCTGCTTGAACACAAATATTAATTTTTATCAAGTCCATCAAAGTAAATATCTTTGTCCTGGATACAACGTAGGAGTTCAGTCTTTATGCAGTATGGTATTGCTTGTTTGTGGTATGTGAGAATCAAACATGTGCACTGCAGGAATTCACTTGTGGTGCAATTTATTTGGACTTACAGTTAAGTAAGTGCCTAATTCAAGGCAATTGAAGCCAGTGAAATTTAGAATGTTTGTAGGGGTCTACCAAAAATTATTTTCATAGTCATACGAAGGGGGACCCAAAAATAACCGGAAACGACTTGTTGCGCGCGCATGCTTTGTAGTTACGAGTTGTGCTGCTAGGTGGCGTTAGCTGGGGGTCTCCCGCGACTGTTAGTGAGCTGGCGTCAGTCTGAGTTAAGTGGTTTGTCTGTGGTGCTCTGTTGTGTGCGTTCCTGTTTCAACCCTTTGGCGATTAGTGAGATGGCCGACCAGAAGGAACAAAGAGTGTGTGTGAAATTTTGCTTTCTGTTAGGGAAAACTGCACTTCACTCTTCAAGTCGCGGCAAACATTCACGCGGTTTTCTCTTTGGTCATCTCCGAGCAAGCGAGGAACAAATTTTGCAGACACCCATCTCATGTGCAAACCTTCGGTTAAAATTCGCTGGACCGTGCTCCATGAGATGTTCGTTTCCTCAGAAAGTTGGTCAGTGGTCTTTCGACGATCTTCATCAATTTCACGCACACTCTTTGTTCCTTCTGGTCGGCCATCTCACTAATCGCCAAAGGGTTGAAACAGGAACGCACACAACAGAGCACCACAGACAAACCACTTAACTCAGACTGACGCCAGCTCACTAACAGTCACGGGAGACCCCCAGATAACACCACCTAGCAGCACAACTCGTAACTACAAAGCATGCGCACGCAACAGGTCGTTTCTGGTTATTTTTGGGTCCCCCCTAATATGTAGTAAAAGCATTGTTATCTGGAGTGTAAGGGGGGGCAGAGTATTCCAGTTACATATTTTGTGGTGAATGAAGACTTTAGTTTCAGAGAACATTTTATACTGTAACACAATAATTTGCGAGGATGTAATGTTGGTACTGCGGATGTGAGAGATTTCTTAAGTACTGCAGCCGACCGCCGACTTACAGTTGCCACGACTGTCGCTCGAGCTTGAGTTCTCTCTCTCAGGGATACGGGTGCTTTGGAGAAGGGAGTGGAACACACTTCGGGGTAAATCAATCCGGGATCTCCAGAATGCACCGTGGATGGCAGTTTTAATTTAAAATTTCATCAATACAGAATATGGATATTATTCTCCTAGCTAGCAGCTCCGTCCGCCGCCTAGCTAACACCACTCTTGAACACTTCTCTCCTCTCTATCTACATTCCAACTACTGTCCTCCTCTGCTCATTATAACCGCCTCCTCATCTTCTTTACAAGTCCCCCAGTTGGTATCAGAACAACAAGAAAATAAAAAGAGAAATCCAAGGGTCGAGCCCGACATCTGGCCTACATACGTATCTTTCAAGATGCCCATAAACCTCTGTCGGTCTTCAAGGAATCCAAGACCCCTCCCGGCTGGTCTCGCACACGGTCCGTTCATCGGTTTATGATATACTGGGAGTAAACAGGCGGCGTTAGGGACAATAGCGGCACCCTTAGCCTAAGGAGGACAATAGCGGAATTACAACCAGACGGTCCGGGGATGGTACCTCGCCGATGGAGCGTCTCTCACGGTATTGAACAATGCATAACTAAATCATACTCTTAATTATATAATTTTGACGAGGGACGTACGGTTACAGTACACCATTGAGATGACCTCAGGTGGCATGATATACATACCAAGTCTTATGGGAGTCGATTCAGTGGAGTAATATCAAGGGTATTACCACAACAATTTGAGAGGCTATAGTGTTGGTATTACAGATGAGAGGGGTTTATGATGCACATCACTGAGATGGCCTCAGATGGCAACATATATACTGTGGCATGTAGACCTGTTGCTAGGCAGTAATCATGACACAAACAGCTAGGAAACAGCCCCATAAACAGCAACAGAGGGATGGTCTCTTCTGGACAGTCTGTTCNCCCCCCCCCCCAACAAACCCGCAACTGTCTGACAGTAGTAAAAATCTGGTTCTTAGCCCCAAAAGGATGCTTTATTCCAAGACAGACTGGTCAATGGACTATCAGTCGTAATATAAGACTCAGACTCAGTTGAGTTTGTTGGTGAGTGACTGAGTTAGTCAGTTGAGATTTGCTGTAGCTAAGGCAAGGGACAATTTGGCACCCAGAGGAAGAGGAACATTCACCATTGGAAGCCATTACCAGGAGTCTGGTGAAGACAGCAGACTGAGAAGACTTAAATGTATGCTCTAGTGAACTTTAAAGTTTATGAATTATTGAAATGGTTTTAATTACTTGCAGTCACAGATCTGGGAGAGTTCATTAAATCTGATCACCAATTCAAACCTCATCTGTAGTCACTTATACATTTGACAATACATACCAAGTTTCATGAAGACTGATACAGGCATTCAGGCAGTATTAAAATTTGACCTTAGCAGTTTGAATGGCTGTAATGTTTGTATTCCCGGTCAAAAGGAATTATGAAATGCACCATTGAGATGGGCTCAGGTGGCATGATATATATATCAAGTTTCATGAAGATTGGTAAAGTAGTTGTAGGACTGTTAAGGTTTTGCCTCAAATTTCAGAAGCTATGGTGTTGGTGTTCCTGATGGGAGGGATTTATGAAGTATGCTGATGACATGGATTCAGGTGCTGTGAAATTCTCTTACATATGAAGTTTAATGAAGATTGGTTTAGGCATTCAGAGGTTGTTAGGGGGGATACACAGACAGCAAGATGATCTCATGAGCTTGCTTTTATTTTTTCAAAACTGGAGTATATTTCTGGAAGGATCCTGTAATTATAGGATTATGCAGTTGTTTTCCTGAACACTTTCTTCCATGTTGAATGGGTTTCTTGTTGTGGCATAACATATCCTCAGGTTACAGGTGGGAGCAATTTCCCATGGATATGGATTGTAGCTGCAAATATGTTAGGTGAGCCATTGTGGACAACCCAGGGGAAGCCTTATAGCTTGAGGTTTAAGCATTGAGTTAACAGCCCCACATTGTAAATGACTAGCATGTTATAAAATGTCACATAGGATCTCAGACATGGATGAATTCTGTGGCATGGGAGTGAGATATGGAAAATGGACACACGATTTGGAACTTGGAAGATATTAGTATAGATAACAGAAATGGGGTGTGAAGGGTTTGAGTAGGTTCAACAGACTTCAAATGGTCCAGTTTGGACTTGTTTGAACGTGTGATGAACTTGTATAGTGCATTGAATCATTAGGTTATATAATAGCAGGGAATTCCTGAAGTAACCAAATGACTGTCACCTTTTCAAAGAAGGTCATATGCCATGGATTTATGACTAAATTGTGTTTGGACTGCAGCATGAAAACCATATCATTGCTGATTTGAAGGTCTGTAGATGCAGGTGACATATGTTTGAAACTGTTGCTGCATGCATGAAGAGAATCAGAATTAGAACCTCTTCACGGACAGAGCCATGTGCTGACCCTCTACTGTTGATTAAGTTCTACACTGTCTTTGTTAGTTTGCTGAAATATCTTCCCAGACCATTGCTTTTGTGGAATTCATGTTTGTTATTATACTTTTCTTTTTGCAGGCTGCTATAAATCTGGAGCTTCATGCTGAAAAGATAGGTTATATAGATGTGAAAATTGAGGGCTTGAATGGTCAGTTACCAAACCTAGATCTAGTGAACTTGGTACACAGGCTGTGCTCCAAGGAAGGTGTCAGACATACATTCAAAAATAGGGTAAGAATGCATATTTAAATAATATCTCACTGTTTAATCAGCAAACATGATTACTGCTTGCTTCAAAATCAAATCTAGTATGTGTTAATGATGAAAGGCTAAGAAAAATTAATCTTTTTTGCTATCCCATATTAACTTATATTGCTTTAATTGGTTGTGGGTACCATGTTTAATTTCAGTCTTCTGTTTTCATATTTTGGTGATGTAATTTAAAATTAGTGTGTTATTACCCAAGCACATGTTATTTAGTGAACAAGAAATTAGTGACACTGAGATGAAAACATTCTTGTTAATTCAAAGATTCCTGTTTGCCTAACAGTTTGTTAATTCTTTTTCTTTTAATAGGAAAATAGTAATTACAGAGACATATATAAAGAGTGGCTTCATTCATTCAAGATATTAATGGCAATGGTTACTACACAAGCTACTGGGGTTCCTAACGGGAATCATGGACTTTTCCATAGGTCAGTGAATTCATAAAGTCTGCAAAACATACTATCCATGCTTGAGATCTAGCTGGTCATAACAGAATGCACAGTGGCTTTTATCTTAAGTTCTCTTACTGAAGTGAGGATTGTAGGGTGTGTGTAGGTTACAACAGGACATACAAGGTGTGTCCCAAAAGTCATGAAATATATATATATATATATTTTAAATTTATTGATGATATCAGTACAAAGTGTTAATATTCTTCAGAGTACTGTCCATGAGCATCTACACATTTCTTCCACCGACTCTCCTATGCCCAGTACGCCCCCTCAAAGGCCTCGACGGGAACCTCACCTCGGGAACAAAAAGAAGTCAGCCAGAGCTAGGCTGTAGGGTGGCTGTGGCAGCGTTGCCACGTGGTGCTTCGCCAGGAACTCAGGGACCAGCAGAGACGTGTGGCTGGGCGCATTGTCATGATGCAGCCGCCAGTTAGCGGCGATGTCTTTTCGCATGCGGATGACCCTTTTCCTTAATCTTTGTAGAACATCCATGTAGTAGGGAACATTGACGGTCTGTCCCTGGGGTAGAAACTCTTTGTGGACCACACCCTTGGCGTCGAAAAAGACGATGAGCATTGTTTTCACTTTGGATTTGCTCATCTTCGCCTTCTTCTACTTAAACTTTTTCACCCACCTTGTAACTTGCACATATGATAGAGCAGACTCCCTGTAGGCTTGCTTAAGCAGTTCCTGAGTTTCGGCAGCTTTTTTATTGAGCTTTGTGCAGAACTTGACCACCCAACATTGTTCGAAAGTATCCGCCATTGCACGCCATGACGTGGTCACAAAACACAGGTGCACTAAATCAGCAATACTGATGCCTCCGATGCTCGAGCAGACTGACCTTGGGTGCGCTGTGAAGCTAAAGGCCTCCCCCCCCCAACCCAACCGGTTGTAGGAGCGTGGGAAAGAAATATATTTCATGACTTTTGGGACACACCTTGTAAGTTACAATGCCTCATCCTCTCTCACATTGCAGTAGCAATCACCCCCACACTTCTCACTATCACAACCTCTGACATATTTCCCCAAATATAATTCATCCAAGAATTTTCTTAATACTTCAATGGATATTGTATTCATGCTTGTTCAGATCGACACACAAAAGAAAAAAAAATCTCATGAAGGGTTTAAAAAGTGATTAAATATTTTGATAATTATTTTGTTTATATAGAACTGCTTTGCTGTGCCTGAGAACCATACCTCAGGCTTCTGGCTACAACATTAATGATAAAGAGAGTTTCTCCCTTTGCTAGTAGATACAGTACTACCACTACCTCATATTCATTAAGTTCCCCTTGGTGACACTGCAAGAAAGAGCATGACACAGCGTAACTAAGGCCTGCTAGTTTCAGCATCCTGCTAAACCAGTCTCTCTTACATGGTGGTGCATAGGGAAATTTTGGCACACTAGTGTAATACAACTCTGATCCAGCAAGGTTTGCGAACATGACAGGGATCTTGCCTCAACTCTGCATGTTCTGTAATCAGATATAATTTAAATAGGTAGTACTTAAAGGTTTAAACTCCACTGCTGTGTATTGTACTACTCTTTCTCTGTCTCTTTTACTGTAGGGCATTTTACTCCTTGCAATGATACTCAAATTATCTTATTAAATGATCATGCTTGCTTATATTTTCTTCTGATAAAAATGTTGCTTTTTTTAACCTGAATATGGTGAAATCCTGATTTAATGAAATCGTGATTACTTTTTTGGTTCCAGCCAAAGCCCAGTTGTAAAAAATGTGTTATTTTCATGTATTCAGTAAACTTCTGTTTAGAAAATAACCTACATTAAATGTGAGAAAATTTTAACCTTCTGGAACTCTTTCCTTGGTTTAGTGAGGCTGTGGTAAATATTCAAGTTTTCTTGCCAGAAACCGGTACCATGCAGCTATAATGTTTGGTGACTAACATCACATATTTAATACACATCAGATGCTTGCCATGTATGCCATTGTAATTGCTATAACTCTCAACTCAGGCTCTTTCGGTGTTTATTTCAGTAATTATTTCTGTAAGTAATTGTATTGGTTATGTAATTTTATTTATTTATGTAGATACAGTTACTACATATGCAAATAAATTATTTTATCGTAATTGCATACAGTAAGTGATATAAGAAGATGAACAGTTTTTTGATGAAATTTCGCATAACCCTCAGTTATTGAAAAAATCAGTTTAGAAAGCCAGTCTCCCAGAGATTCATTATGTATGGGTTTCACTGTAAATGGGAATCATCTGGATTCCTCTCTTTAACTCAGAAACTTAATCTTGATGCTGTAGGTAGCTCACTCTTACTTACTCGTGGAGCTGAGCCCTTCTTGAGGAGCCGCCAATTCTGCAGCTACTCAAGAATTTCCCAGCATTTTATGGAACCCAAAGGTTCAGTACCGTGTTCACAAAAGCCCTCCATTGGTCCCTATCCTGAGCCAGGTCTATTCAATTCATACCACCCCATCCTATCTCTCTAAGATCCATTCTAATATGTCCATCCACCTAAGCCTTTGTCGTCCCTGTGGTCTCTTTCCTTCCAGCTTTCCCACCACTGTCTTACACGCATTCCTCGTCGCCCCCATTCGTGCTACATGCCCTGCCCACCTCATCCTCCCTGACTTGATCATTCTAATTATATTTTGAAAAAAGTACAATTTATGAAGCTCCTCATTATGTAGTTTTCTCCAATCTCCCCTTCCATCATCTTTCTTTGATCCAAATATTCTGCTCAACATTCTGTATACTAACACCCTCAGTCTATGTTCCTCCCTTAATGTCAGAAACAAAGTTTCACACCCATACAGAACCACAAGCAAAATTATAGTTTTGTATATTCTAATTGTTATGTTTTTGGACAGCAGACGAGAGGACAAAAGATTCTGGACTGAATGGTAGCAAGCATTACCCGAGTTCAATCTCCTCTTAATTTCCTCCTGAATCAGGTTTCGATCTGTTATCGTTCCAAATATCTGAACTGTGCCACATTTTCAAAACATCTGTTTCCTATCTTTATATGATGATTTAGCTCTGCATTTTGCTGATGAGACCGTAACATGTACTTAGTTTTCTCTGTGTTTACTTCTAGACCAACCTCTTCACTTGTGTCACTTAAAGTTTGTGTGTTTTTCTTTATGGTATCTACATTATCACCCAGTAGATTCACATCATTGGCATAGACCAACAGCTGATGTGTCCCATTTAATTTCAGTCCCGCCTGGTTTCCCTGCACCTTCCTAATGCAAAGTGGAAAGGGAGTGGCGATAAAGCATCTCGTTGTTTTAGACCATTCTGGATAGGAAATTTATCAGACAAATATTTACCTACACAGACTTTACTATATGTTTCATTTAAACACATTTTAATCAACCTAATCAGTTTCTTGGGTATCCGAAACTCTATTAGAATGTTGTACAATACAGGGTGATTCAGAAAGATGGACACAATTTCAATTGGCTATATTTCCTGAATTATATGTTGCATTTGAATTCTGTAAATTACACTTGATTATACATACATGGAAGTTTATAGATGTTCAGTGTGCCCCCCCTCCTCCGGCTGCACGGATAACATCTAGACGGTAGCTGAATTCATCCTACACTCGATGACAAATATCTTGCGTCACTGAGTTCACCGCAGCTGTGATACAGTTTCTTAGGTCATTCAAATTTGTGGGAAGAGGTGGTACACGCCACACAGTTGTTTGCGATAGTCCAAGTTCTCTACTAGCACTACGGGTTGACTTCATTGGGCTGCGCTCAAAGTTCACTCGAATGCACTCCACGTTCTCCTCCGATACACGCGATCGGCCCGGGATTTTACCCTTACACAGAGAGCCAGTTTAATCAAATTGTTTATTCCAACGATAAATGCTCTTCCTCGTTGGAGGTTGGATGTTAAACTTATGACGAAATGCATGCTGCAACGCAGTCGCAGACTCACTTTTACTGAACTCACGAATGCAAAAGATTTTGTGTTGCACAGTAGCAGTCTCGNAACTTACCCTGTCTCAGTCAAATCAGGTCACATTCAACCAGGATGAAACACACATGACCAAGGATGGCTGTCAGCAGCTTGGCTTGTCTCCTGTCAGTCCTCCAGTTTATCAGTGAGGGCTCTAAGATTCAGGGTTTGAATTCTTGTAGCTCATAAATGTGATTGTATTTTAGCATCATGGCACACACGATAAGAGAATATAAAGTTTCTAATGTTTGCTGTTTTCAATCTGTAGGTTTGGTATTGAAGCTGTAACTTTGGAAGGTTTTGAAAAGAAAGGAAGAGGCAGCCCAACTCTTTATTTCCAGATAGGGCGGTAAGTGAAGTACGAGTATAGAAATTATGTAATTGTTAAAGAATGTTCAGCCACTTGCCATAACTTTTGGAAATTTATATAATAACCAGAAAAAAAAGAATAATTTTTATTGGGTGCATCCTGCCATGTTTATTATATAAAATTCTTTATTAGGATCCGTCTTAACACAGCAATGAAACAGTCTAGGTCAATATCACCTTAGCTACATGTTTCGGCTTTTAAAGTCATCATCAGGTAAATACATGGTTACTATACTCACACACCATGGAACTGCATTTCAATGTGGTGTGATGTGATGAATGCTATGACTGGAAAGGGTTAATACTGTTTACAGGCATTCACAATCATTTGTGATTAGCTGCATGGTGCCCCTTTCTTGGTTCCTTGGTGTTCTTTTGCCCCAGACTCTCTAGCTTAATTGTCACTGGTTTGTCAGTCTGGTAAATTACTGCTGGCCTTCACCAGCACAGTAGTTCTTTGTTTTGGGCTCTGCAGGACCCATGACTATTTTTTTGTCTTATGACTCATTTTGGCTGCCTTCTCTGTATTTGCCTTGCAGCAGACTGCCTAGGCAACACTGCCTCCAACAGCTCTTGGCTGTTGCATACATGGGAGTAACAGTGCTTACAGCAGCTCCCTGCTTGTCATATACATGTTTGTTTTGGGGATATACGCTTACTATGGTGTTGCCTCATAGTGGGTATCTCTGTGATGTTTCTGCAGTTCTAACATTCTGAAGTTTCTGGATTTTAGCCATTATGTCTCATTGCTCCCTGCTTAAAGCTGCTTGTCCCAAAAAGTCTTAAGGTACTAGTCCTTTCATGCATGCAACTCTGCTACACCTGTGTCCGTCCTCACAAGTGACACTGTAGTGGTTAATCAGGCCCCAGCTCTTGTAGGCAGGGCTGCGATCAGCAGTGGCATTCTATTCCATACATCAGCCAATCTTCACTTCCTGTAGAGTCAGCCTTATGCTGCCATCATCAAGCTGTTTCCTCCTTAGGCCAGTATGGCCCCAGCTGCCTGCAGCTACAGCTATAGTGACCCACCCCTCCTTCCTGAAGAGTACGTTCCTCTTGGCTTGACACTCTAGGGAGTTAACCCCTGGTATATTAGTATTGTCTCTCTGCCAGCTTTAATGTGCAGGGATGAAAGTGGTCATGCCACAATTAAAAAATGTCACTTCTTCCTTGCCAAGTCATATTGCATGGCACCCATAATCCATGGGGGTGTAGTTGGCATGCAAGACATCCAGCCCTGAAGTGAATTCATCAGTGATCTTGGCAACAAACATCCAGGTATGCAGCCTGTACTCCCCAGCATCATCACTATCAGTGCTTTCTTCAAGGCAGGGAGGGTCTCCCCAGACACCATCTGCAGGATATACAGCTAGGTTGGCTCTCTTGGGGAGTCCCATGGTGACATCTAGCCCAGCCATCATTACAGATGTGAGGATGGTGTCAGTGGTCATAAGGCATAACTTGTCCTCTGTTTGACCTTCAGAATTTTGGCTATTGTTGCTCCTCCTTGTTGACATGCAGAATGTGACACAAGAAGGCGGGGCTAATGACACCAGTACCTTTTAGTCTGTGCCATCCCTTATTCATTCTCAGGTTTGGATTGACATTCTCTCAAGCATTTCTTCTGGGAGCATTCGTTTCAGCAGTCTCTCATTAGATGGCCATCACCTCCATATTGCCATCATATGGGTTACTCGGTCCTGCAGTGCTAGGCCCATGGCGACTGGCCCCTTTGGCACTTTCACCTGTATCACTTGCAGCCTTGCTGGTGATGTGGCTGCCAGCTTCAGGACCTGGCTGAGGGCCTTGTTGTACATCCTGTCACCACTCATGAGGAGTTGCTACTTCTCCTCCTAATCCTATCCCCCAATGACAAAATCATGGGTTGAATGTAATGCTGGAGTAGCCCAACAAGGGCCTAGTGAGCCAACTTCTCTGTGGCTACTGAAGTTCTTGCATTGACCCACCACTGAGCTGGGTCCTGGCCTACAGTTGGTAATGGTAGGCCACAGCCAATCGATGGACTCTGTAGTGACCCTTGAGCACCATAACAGTGTCTTCGTATACTGCTGCTCCAGGGATGGTGTGCAGAACTCTGGCAGCCTGCCTCTGCTGGCCAGCGAGTAGATGCATGGTCTTCTTCCAGGCTGTCCAACAGCTCCTGACTGTTGCATGCATGGTGGCTATAATGCCTCCAGTATCTTGCTGATTGTTGTGCATGTGTTCATTGTTGGGGATACGTGTTCGCCATGGCATTGCCCGTCTCTGTAATATTTCTGCAATATTAACATTTTAAAGTTCCTGTACTTTAGCAATTCTGTCACAGTATTTCCCTTTGCTGTGTGTGAGTTACCCAACTTCGCCAGTGCATGTTCCGGTTAAGCAGGCCCCAGCAGACATATTGTTGTACATCTTAAATATAAATTCCATTACCTCGAAGATTAAATCTGTTTCCCAGTGCCATAGTCGTGGGAGATTTAACTCTAGCCGATGAAGTTTGACAACACTTATAGATGGATTGAATTTTTCATGCAGTTTCTTTTGTATTTCAAAGATGTATAAGCTGACTTTTGATTGATAACTTTTTAAACAGAACGCCATAGAAGCTTTATAAATTTTTTAAATAACAAATTGTGTTGGTGTCAGCACTGATTGAAGGTATGTTGGGATAAAGGCAGAATAATTTTATAGTTTGATGAGTGGATACAACTGTATAAGATTGGAAACATCTGTCTTAATATATTGTAGATTCCCTTACCAGCAGTTTTAACAGCGTAGTTATTGGATAATTACTGTCTGATGTGTTGATAATTTTCTTGCAGTGTGCTTGAAGGATTATTTCGGAGTTTAAATAACCTGTTGGAACGTTTTCATCAGTCATATTTCTTCTACCTCCTGCCTGCTACTGACAGATTCATCTCTATTGGTAATACTTAATACAGAACTTATGAGAAATAACTTTATACTGTTTTTTTTTTGCAGAGCTTTGTTTAAATGTTATACATTAATTTGCAGGTATGTATATGCCACCTCTTGGGTTACTTTGTTCTGCGCTAATAATTAAAGCATTTGCCCTTTGGCATAAAATGCAGGAGGATCCAAATAAAGCAGAACCTGCAGAAGAGGAAGAAGCTGAAGAGATTAAAAGAGCACCTAGTCATTCTGAAAAGAAGGTTTGTTATGTAATATAGTGTCACCTCTATACAGAAAAAGTCTTTAGTTCTTATCGCTTTTTATTAACATATACAGAGTGTCCCAGAAGTCCCTGGCCGTAAGAGGCCTTGGTTATTTGCCAAAACACGGAAGATTGTAAAGAGGGAAGAATTGTTGAAAATCAAACGTTTCAACTCTCAAGTGTTGATATTTTTTTACCTAGGACAAGCTGTTGTGGCATCACACCCTTTAAAAATCAGTACTAAAACATTTTGGCAGGTCGTGCCATAGCTCAGGTGGCTAGTCGCCAGCTTCCCACCAAGGATTTGATCCCAGATCAAGTAATGTGGGTTTTGTGGTGGACAAAGTGGCACTAGGGCAGGTTATCTTCAAGTACTTCGGTTTGCCCTGCCAATTCTCTTTCCACCAACTGCTCCACACATTATCATCTATCGTCTGGGGCTGGTACAATAGGCCAAATAGTGGCCAACGTACCAAGTAGATTCAGTCTCACCCCACCCAAAGAAATTAAAAGAAAAAAAAACGTTTTGGTGGTGTTGCTAAGGTGACATCAGGACAAACGTGGGGTATGTTTCTAGAGTGATAGTGAGAAAGAGGCAGGTATAACATGAAACAGGAGTAGTGAATGAAACTGTTGTATTTTAATGTATGTGTATAGAAATGTTGCAAAACCACAAAACCACACATGCATATGGAACACCTCAAAGGCTATAGGCTGTTTGGGATGAGCAGCCTTAAGGAGGGCTCAGTGTGATATGACATCTGAAAGCCAGAATAACGGAACCAGAAGAAATCCGCTGCAATGTAATGACTTGATGAACACATATATATGGCACTGGATATGTGTGCAGTAACAGAAGAGATTCTTTGAAGCAGGGTTTTCAATGCGGTCTGAGCCGAGGTGATGATGAGGCCACGTGCTAAGTCAACAGTCATTTGCCATCATGAGTTAGTTCTGTCCTTGAGTAAGTTGTGAGATGGTAGCTTGCCAGCAATGACATAAGCATGAGAGCAGAAGAATCTTCACTGTTGCAACTGTGACCGAGCAGTGACTAGTGAAGGCATAAAGACTGTGCTGCAGTACAGTGATCTGCATAGTGTGTAGATCCATAGAAATGTTGTAGTTGCCTGTAGTTATGGCCGTGCCATAGCTCAGGCAGTTAGTCGGTGGCTTCCCACTGCGGCGCCCCGGGTTCGATCCTGGGTCTGGTGAAGTGGTATTTGTGGTGGACAGAGTGGCGCTGGGGCGGGTTTTCTCCGAGTATTTCAGTTTCCCCTGTCAATCTTCATTCCACCAAATTCTCCATCATCATAATCACCTGGGGCAGGCTACAATAGGCCAATCAGTGGCCACCGTGGCGAGTGGACACAGTTGGACTCCACCCCCCGCTAAACAAATTGAAAATATAATACCTATATTTATGCATTATAAGGGTTCAGTAAATCCAATTACCAGTCCAAGCCCCATACCTAGTCACTGAACATATGACAGTATTATTTAATATGACATTAAAAATAGATTTTTAGGCTTGGAAGTCTGTGTGGTAGAAATGTAGGCTTTGAGTTCTACTCAAAACCCTTATTCTCTTCATATATGCATACAGGATCTCACTGCGTGTTGTAATCAAATGGCAGAAGACAATGCTGAATGCTTGTAATGTTTTATATGTATGTCGGAAGAAAATGAACATACTGTTAATCCTTTCCTATTGTTTAGAATTGGTGGTAACAGAAATGCAGAAAATATTAATAGATTGCAGTAAATCTGATTAAGTTTAATCTTTCTTTTCCTTTAATTTTGTCATTGATGTGTTTGCCATCACTTTATGAAACATGCTTGAAGCTTGGAACTCAGACACAGAATGCTACAATAGTCTTCTAAAGGTTTATGACTTTTGATGCTCTCTGTTGTCCAAATGAAAATAAACAGTGTTTCAGAGGCTTGGTCTGTGTCAATCACATGGTTAAAGCAGAAGGGTTACTTCCTGTGTGGGACTCTTTAGTTGAAGCTAGTATTAGTTGTAGCACTTAGTCTAACTTGGGGTTTGATAATAGCCCAAATGAAGTTGATACCCTTTCCTCATAACCTGAAAGAGTCAGCCTCTGAAACTCGTTCTTTTCATCCAGGCAACAAACAATAGCATATAGTGAAAGAATATGCTCCATAAGCCCATTATGGCTGTTATGTGATGCTGTCTGGAACCATAAATAGGGTAATAAGAATGTGTTTGTTTAAAACATTTGTCACATTTGAAACCACTGCTGTTATGTCTTGTAAGAAGGGTGTTTATAATTTGATGCTTCTGGATAATATTCTATTTTCATTCTTCCAGGGTTCATCAAACCATTTCAGCTTAGTCCCAGTTGGAATGACAGTTCTGTTAACACATGCTCTTGGCATAGCCTTGTTGTCTTCCCCTCAGATGCTTGGCTCTCAGGGTCTTGAGTATGGATTTTCAACTGACACGTCTATATATGTGGGATATCTTGTTATGACTCTGTCTATGCTTTTTATTCCACTGTTTGCTTGCAGGTAAGTTACTGTTACCTGGCCTGAAATTTGATGTTTTCGTGAAGTATTCACTGGTTTGGTTTATACATTAAACTATCTCCTATATGTAGTGTGAGCATGGGTGCATGTGTTTTACATATCATTTCAGGGGAGAAGGGACAGAAGGACAGAATGAGGTTAAATAGAAAGGGGAGGGGAAAGATGAAAAATGCCAGGAAATGGTGTAGAGACAGTATACATTCATTGTTTTGAAAGCCTATGAAGAAATTTCACAAGTCAGATAATAAAGTAGAGATTTTAACTGTGTAAAATACTTTTGTAATACTGGGTGTCCAAGGACGAAGTATATACATTCTTGATCTTCCTGCAGTCCTACATGGGTCATAATTTCCATGCCGCCCAGTGGCAACTTACCAATTAGGCCACTATGAACAGTGCTCTGTCTAAACTTAGAACTGATATCATGGTTAGATATTCTTGCATGTATACACATTGCTAGGCAGTATGGTGGTAAACAAGTTCCCATGAAGACCAATTCTTGGTAAACAATCTGTTGCCAGGTTACGCAGCAATAGATGAGGCTGTGTTTTCTATGTAATCCATGCTGAGCAACTGTAGGATTAGGTTGTCTGTGGTCAATTGCTAGGTTATGCAGCACTTCTTACAATATAACTGTCTTTTCTGCATGATCCGTGCCATGGCTATGTAACGAGATTCCTAGAATAACCAAGGGAGTGACAGAATTAGCTCAGGGGCAGTTATGAATCACTCATAAGCTGGAGGGCTGAAGGGTCCAGGAGAGTTTTAAGTTTAGTTGTGAGGTTCCAGGGTGATTGAACAAGAAATGGCAAGACTTCATAGTGATTTGAAGTGCTAGTTTCTATGTAGAGATCCATTGCCAGGAGACAAGGGAAGATAGAGAATTCTAGTGTAGGTGCAACAGTGGACTGGGAAGTGTAAACCAGCGATAAGGCTGTAATAAGTGTGATTGAGCAACCTTGTAAATGAAGTGCTAATGAATCCAATCATCTGAAATAGAACCTGTTAATTATGTCATGTGTACCACCCTGACATGTGGCAGTATGTTTACAGTATCTACACTGAATACAATGCATATGATGTTTATATTTAAGGCATGTAATGAAGATTCATGATGTGTAGGTGATGTATGATGAGTCATCAACCAAATATATATGTCTGATTTCCCAGAATGCAAGGACAAATGTGCGCTCAGCCTACTTGTTATACTATGGTATCAAGGAAAATAGAATCTGTTTAACATGGATATGGCATTGTGAGGGAGAGGGATCTGCAGAAATACATGTGATATAGGGAACTTCACTCTAACCCCATGCCACATGATGAACTGCTGCCTTCACCCTTCTGTTCCAGCTGTGCTTGAATGGGTTACAATGCATGCATTGGTTTTCATTTTCTACTCTTCATCTGTGTTTTGTGTAGTAAGTAGTTCTATGACAAAGTATCCATAGAAAACATGGTTTTTGGTCTTTTTTTTTTTCTTTCAGTTCATATTTTTCTGTGTTTTATGTCGATAATGTAGTAGGTATATGACTACAGTACTGACTGACTTGTAAATGGGAGGGTTTGTTTAACCTTTAACGGCTGAATGTCACTTATATATGGCGNGAGTGTCGGACTGGCACTCTTTTTGACTATTATTATACTTACTTTGCATCACTATTTTGCGAATATTACCAACAGATGAGAGTGTCGCTTTGTCAATCAACATAATTTATTCAATTTGTTAGAAACCCCCCTCCCCCAAGATGATTCTTCAATCACACAAGCCGAATATCATGGTCAGTGGCGTTTCTCGGGGGAGGCCAACATTATCAGGGGGCCCAACTGAGTTGACTGGAGGTGAAACATTCACAACACTGGCCAACGAAAGGGAAACAAAGATGTTGTCTTGTGTTTCGCTAAATAATAAAAGCAGGAGCACGCTCTTCTCCTGTAAAAAGGGTGGTGTCACTCTGTGAGATGGACTGCTTCGAGAAGTGCTATGCGCCCGTGTCAGAGTGTATCGTAAACTGTGAAGTGACACAGTTCAAACTCGTGTACAGTCTCAACAAAATAGTATTGTATATAGTGTGACTATATTTACAATATCACCATTATTCATGGTTGAAGAAAAAACAACGGGTAAGTCCTTTGGAATTTCATAACACATATAACAAAGATTATATTTTGCGTTTCATAACAAAATAATCACAATTAATTTTCGTTTGTAAAAATTGATCCTTTGAGTATATGTAGAAAATGTTATTGTCGTTCAGACTGTTTTTAATTCGTACTTCTATCTTGCATAGAACGGAAAATATGTATTTTTTTTTTCTGAAAGTTTGCAGTTTTAATTAATTAGGGCGATTTAAATACCGGCCACAGAGGGCTCCCAGCAATTTAAAAGTCCGTACATTAAAGGTTAATTAAACTCCTGCTTAAAAGTGGAACGTTTGGAAGATAAACAGTGTTGCAAGATTGTCAGAAGTGTCTTTCGCTTTGAGGTGATATGAGGAAAAACTACAAATAAAATGACTTGGACCAGTGATATATGGTCTTGATATTATTAATAGCATTGTTAAATCAGTGAGTGATTAGTGAGTGAGGATTGAGCCAGTTGCAGTCTAGCATTTGGCCGAGTGAATGGCAGCAGGAGAAGTAAGTGTGATACTGCAGATGGCAGTAACTGTAAAATTGTAAACTGTGTAAATGTAAGAGTGAGTGGAATAAATTCGCTATATCAAATAAGGCGTGAAGTTACTTGTCACGCGTTATACACCCAACATGTGACAGTATTTTACCTTTATCTAATATACCCTTTGGATAAGTTGCATGTTTCTTCATTTCAGAAATGGGGGAGCAAAAGTGGAAAGTTGGACAATCCTCAATATTGTTGCATTACTTGAATTGGCTACACTTCTCCTTTGCACATCAATGCAGAACTTCTCTTTGGCGCTTCTCAGTGCTGTTTTATATATTCTTCCTAGTTTATGGATGGTACCAACACAAAGCAGGTGAAATCAGGAACTTTTTTATATATATTAGCAAGTAAAACCTCTGTAAAGGAAGGAGATGTGAAATTGTGGACTAAAGCAATGAAGTTTTGGTAGAGGGTTTGTTAAACTTGGCAAGGTACAGATTTGAGGCTTTCACGGCGGTGACTATGAAGAAAGCAGTCTTCTGGGATTTGGCACCGTGTTACCGTTCTCACGGTCTTGTCGCTTGCAGATTTCTTATACTTTTTCTTCTACCCTGAAGATGGAGGCGATACGTTCCTCCGAAACGTCGGTTAACACCACATATACACGGTGCCAAATCCCAGAAGACTGCTTTCTTCTTGGCAAGGTACAGTTTATCTTTTATAATAGTTACTTCTTGTATACCTTATCTTCGAATTGCTCAGGTATTTTAAAACTGAGTTACACCATACAAATGGAAAAGTGTATTTGTGAACATACACTTTAAATGTTCTTTGGATAAAGTGCATTCACTGAGTGAATAATGAGGAAGCTGAATGTACATCTGTCCATCCACATGTTTCATCTGTGAAACTGCCAGATGGATTCTGATGAAATTTTACATTGGAGTCTTACACTGAAAGTTGTTGCGACAGTTTCATTTTGGTTTGTATTGGTCAGATGCAATCTTTACATAGATTAATGCAGTGATAAATAGTTTCTGGCTCTTATGTAGTAATATTATATTGTCATGTGTATGAGTAGATGGGGTTTGGATTGGTAATTGTATTTATTGAACTCTTATGGAACTTAACTACAAGTACCTATAGCACTTACTTCTGCTAATTCACACACACTACAATTCACTACAGCATGCACTAAGTCTTCTCAGTCTGCTGTATCCTCACCAGTTGTTGCCTGGTAATGGCTTCCAATGATGTTCTTCTGTTGTCATGTCACATGGATATCACTTCGACCGCATAGAGAACATAATTCCAGTGTTACTCTTTATGGTCATTACCTAGCAATGGCCGTTGTTTACAGAGTCATTACTTGGTGATAGGTGTACAGGCATACTGCCATTTCTTCTTTTCTAAAGGCTGTACTTGTGATGTCTGTGATTGGTCTCGCCTTCCTTACCTGTGGCTCAGTTCTCATGGTGATTACCCTCTTACTGCTCCTGCTGCTCCCTCCTTAAGGCCCCTCGTCCAGAGCGGTTCCCTGTTAAGGTGGGAGCTGGTCCAGTTGTACCATCATCATCCTTGATCTAGGGTTCTACTTGATTCTGTATACCACATCATTTATCTGAGTTACTACTTTATACAGTCCCTCCCTTGAAGATTGGAGATTGTGCTATATCCCCTTTATGCTGGTTGCGTGATAGAGCCACACTTTGTTGCGCTCATGGTAGCTTGCATAGTTTACCAGTCTGTTGTAGCAAGTTTTCATCTGACCACGGCCAGCTTCAGTTGTTGGCGGGCATAATTGTGGATGTTGTGTAGATGGTCCACTAAATTTGCAGCATGATCAGTTGTGGGTTGTTCCTTGTCAGGGGATGCCCCAAACAGCAGGCTGCAGGGCATTTGGAGTTCTCTTCCGAACACTAGGCTAGCTGGAGTCAAGCTTGTAGTATTGTGAGAGGATACATAATTCAGCATCCAAATCCCTCTGATGCAATGCGAATGTTCATAGGTGCTCCTCGGCTGTTTTGATGTAGTGCTCCACCGTGCTGTCCAACTGTAGGTGCAAGACTCAAAGTTATGGCCCTGGTCACTGTGTAGCTCCCATGGTACTCAGAAGTAGCAGAACAAGTGGGCAACCAGTACTTCCGCCACCATTGAAGCTTCTTGGTTGGAAGTGGTGTAGGCTTCCTGCCACTTGGTAAAATAGTCCATTGATCTGGAGGTATCAATTCCATTGGCCGCTCCATGGGAAGGGCCTGCTACATTGATGACTGTCCTTTCAAATGGAGCCCTGGCATATTCTGATTAATTTGGCCTCCAATTCCTGTTTTGGGGGCCACAACTGGCTGCATAGGTGTTGAATTTGTGGCACCATTCCTCAACATGGTGTCCTGCCTGGAGCCAGTAGTACCTTTGCTAAACTTTGTAGAGGGTCTTGTTGACACCCCAAGTGACCTGACAGTCTACCATGTAGTTTGGCCTGCACATTGTTCATTCTGCTTCAAGGGAGAATTATCTGGGTCATTTTTGATCGTCCACCTGAGGATTCCAAGTGGTGCTGTAGTATGACGTTCCTCACAACAGGAGATTTCCACTGGACCCAGTCGCTTTTGTACATGGGACTGCAGTCAGCGATGTCTTTCCAATTTGGCTGCCATCTGGTCTTCCTCCAGAATGGGCCCTATGTCCTGGTTGTTCAGATCTCATGCCAGCTGGCTGAAGCTACGGCTGCTATAGTGTGTACCTGCTTGACATGTGCCTGTGCATTGGCGTTGTTGTGTTTTTGGTCTTGATGGTGCTCGGAAGTGAAGTTGTACTCCCGTTGGTGCTGAATTTAGCGATTGGTGCACAGGTGGAACTCTTGTATGTAGAAGTACTTAAGGAAATATACTAGTGTCCTTACGATTTCAAGTAGTTTCTGCTGGGGGTATTCAGCTTCTACTGTAGTAGGCAGTTTCTCCTGTCCATCCTATACTTGGGACAACACTCCTCTACTCTTGACACTACTTGTGTCTGTGTCACCTATGAACCTCTCTCTTGGCTGTGGGTAAGCAAGAATAGTGGTAGTACAGATGGCCTCCTTTAATGTTTGGAAGGCGGCATCCATTTCTGGTGTCCACTGGAAGGCTTGCTACTCCTCCATGAGTTTAGTTGGCATTTTCACAGCGGTGGTAAAACCGGAAATAAACCATCTGTTAAATCCATAGGCCCAGGAAGCTTCTTATTTCTTATTATGTGGGGTCAGCCATTTCCATACAGCTTTCAGGTTCTCAGGATTGGTGGTTATCCCAACAAGCAACATAATAATGCCCAAGGTACTGTATTTCCTTCTGAAAGAGTTGGCGCTTCTCCAGATTGAGCTTTAGGCGGGTCTGCAGGAAGCTCTGGAACACTTCCCGCAGGTTGAGCAGGTGCTGTTGTCCAGGTACATGGACATGACTCATGAGTCCTCTAACCTCTGAAACATTGGTGGAATATTGCAAATGCCAAAGGGCATTACTGAACTGCCATAGCCCTTGATCCGTCGAGAATGCAGTCTTCTTGTCATCCGGATGCAGATCCACCTGCCGATAACCGCTCTTCAGGTCCAAAATGGACAATCATTTGGCTCCATCCAATGTGTCCAGAGTGTCATCAATCCAGGGCAGTGGGAAACAATCTTTTCTTGTGACATAATTCAGTTTCCTGTAGTCCACGCAGATCGCAGGTCCCTGTTCTGGATGAGAACGATAGGGAAAGACCAGGGGCTGTCTGACACTTCAATAACCCCACATTGTTGCATGTCCTCGATCATCTTACCCACATCCGCCTGTTTTGCTACGGAGTGTCTCCTTGGGAGTTGGCAGATTGGTCAGGCCTTTGCTGTAATTATATGGTGGTACACTCTGTTGGTCCATCCATAGTCATCGCTCTTCATAGCAAAGATGTCTTTGTACTCGGTGAGAATCTCTTTCCACTCTAGGGATTCAGCATCACTCAAGGTTGGCCTGGCTGCTGCAGTCACATCCTCTAACTTCGGGGTAGTATCTCGAACCTGTGGTTGTTCCACATTGGGTGGGGTCACCAGCGTGACTGGGTCACAGTGTGCCAGGATGGATCCTTTCATGAGCTGGTTGTGACGGGTCCCTCCTGGCAGTCTTGGACCAGGGCCCTGGTTATATAGAGTCCTATGGACAGATGGGACAGTGGATTCGGTTCTGCCAGGCCATTTTCCAATCCGAGGGTGCTTTCTAATCGAGGCATCGTCATTTCCTCACACTGTGCAATTATCACCTGCTCATTAGCCACTACCAGGCTGGAATGCTGGGTTCCCACCCCAGGTCTCCTCTTACTCTGCAAGCTGCAGCGTTTGGCATCCTAAGTGCACAGATGCATTGTATGGTGGCAGGATGTCCTGCCCCAAGATGAACTTGTTTGTGTTAGTGGTGATGAAGACCCAGATTTTCAGTGGGTGCTGCCACAGGGTCATTGTCAGGAAACCTTCCTTCAAGATGAGGAGGGCTTCCTCAGATATTGCCTGCAGTGTGTTGCATTGGTTCGGCTGTCTTTCGGGCCATCCGGTGGCAATGTTGGGGGCCTGGCAACAGTCACATACGCCCTGGTGTCAAGTTACAACGCATGGTTTTCACCAACCTAGCCCTCTGTGACTAGGGCAGGATCGGCCTTTTCTATTATTGTAGCCATGCATTGTGGGAGGCCTTAATGTGTACACTGGCATTTTCCCTTTTCTGCTGGCACCATCTCGTCTCCTGATGGTCAGCCACCCTCCCATGCACCTCTCTGTTGTTTCTTGGTTGCCATTCAGATCTTGCTGGTTCCCATGTCTCACAGGTCTTTTCTCTCATTCTATGCACTGGTCATTTTCTTCCTCCCTCCCATAGGGGCAGTTGCCACATAGTTCCAGCACGCCCATCGTCTTTGGCCTTCTCATCCTGTTGGGGGGTGCTTGTCTTCCCCAGAATGTCCTGGTGCTCTTTGGGGGCCAGGCTGCTAAGAGCATGGCCTGCATCTCGGCCTTCCTGAAAGCCTCGTTTACCGTTTTCTCTCCTCCCAGCAGCAGCTAGACTTTTATGGTAGTATCTTTTACCCCATTGGCAAACATTTAGTTTGCCTTCCTCCTTATGTGGTGGGCCATCTGATTGACAACTGTGGCAAATTCTTGCAAGAATTTTCCAACACCCTGGGTCCTTATTTCTAGCTGACTGTGATACACAATGGCCAGGTGCTGGTCCCCAAAGTGGTCCTCCAGGGACTCAAGGGTTTCCTCATATGTTGCTTCTTTCACAACTCCAGGTAGCATGTCGGTGGCTGGCCCTGCAAGGTGGTGATCAAGTATGTGGATTTCTCCAGGCACGCCCAGCAGTTGTGCCCTGCTATGGTCTCGAACTGCTGCCAGAATACAGCTCATGATGTAATCCCATCAAACTTAGGTGGCTTCACCGTGCTGGTGCCAGTTTCTCTTCCGCACTCGGCCCTGGCCTTGACTTCTTTCAGCTGTGTCTGAAACTCACGTCAGATGGCCTCAGTTTTGGCTTCCATCCTTTCTTGATTGTTCCTTATTTCAGTCTTTGTTGTCTGTGTCTCGACTTGCAATATGAGGCTGAGCTTTTCATGAAGGTCATTCCTCGTGTCTGCTAGGGCTTCCTGGAGGCTCTTTGTTCGCATATCAAAGGACGTCTTCCACTTGATGTTTGTGGTCTCCACTAACTCGGACAAGATGGGGCGTATTGCGACCTCCATCTTCTCTTGAGGTATGTCCATCTTGGCTTTTATTTCTGCTTGAGTGGACACTATCCTGGCTTGGTGGAGATCCGTCTGGGAGACGAGAGTATATACATTTCATGTTTGGACTTCTAATGCACATACTGTTAATTTCTTGAAGATACCGTCTGTACAGTTTTATGTATGGAGATGGTCTCCTGAATCTTAAGTAGAAACATTAGAGCCATTTTCAAGAAAATTGTTATTTTTGGAATTGTAATTTTCATGTTCACCAGACACTGACCTGTGATGGTTGAAATCTTGAATACTGTATATTAATATCTGTTAAGGTACTAGTGAGGCGAGGCATACATCCATATGGGCAGTCATATTTGTCCATCTGCCTGCATGTTTCATGAGTGAAACTAGTGAATTAAGTTGGTAGCAAATTTAATTTTAGTTTGTGTTGATCCAGTGTAACTTCATCATTACATGATACTGGATTCAACCTGATAATTTTTCTGAAAAAAAAAGCATATTATACAAAAATTGGTACTCATATGTGATATAAAATATAGATTCCAATAGGACATGTAACATTTATGTGAAACATGTTTTGATATGATGAATAGTGAATGGAATACAAAGTATAATCAGTTCTGATTCAATGCAGTATACCTGAAATATGATTATGTTGCAAGATTAGATTTGAGTATGCAAAATTGCAAAAGAACATAATGTGGAAATATGTGTACTTTATTTAAGTATATCTGTGTGGTAATTTATGGTTTTCTAAGTTCGCAGGTACAAGTGATAGAATAAATCCAGTCAGTAATGTCATATCCAGTTTACAGTTGGCCTGCAATGTTGGTTTTCATGTTCGTACAGGGTCCTGGGTACACTGCAGAAAGTGGTTTGGCTGCTTTTGCATCCCCTGTGTTTGCTGACTCTTATTGTGATGATTTACACTGCATTGTCATTCCCAGATGAGCCCATTCTTGAATTACTGGAAAAAGGTATATATGGAATTTTATTCAGCATAAAAGACCTGTCTCTAAAGTGAAAATGTTTGTCTACACAGCCATTCTGTTACAGTGGAACCCCCATTTAATATTATTTGTTTTAAGGTTTCCCTCATCTCACATCCAATTTCAGTTATCCCAAGTCATTAGTTAGTTGGTTTCCAGTGACTGCATTTGGGATCATTTAACCCATTTTGCTTCTTGCTTCCCAATAGAGAGCACTCAAGTTCTTTCTTTGTTGCATCTTGAAGAAGTTTGCACTTTTCTTTTGGGAAGCTTTGCCAGGTTTGTTGCTCATTTTGCACTACCCAGGGGACTCATGTGACTTAGAGAATGTCACAGACGCGAGCAACTTTGTCCTCCCCCAAGTCATTAGTCTCAATGTTAAATTTCCTCCATTCAGGATTTTCCTCAGTTTAGTGTTTAAATGTATTGCTCCACAAAGACACTGTACATGGGGATTTCACTATATTTATTGTTCATTGTTTAACCGTCCTCTCTTGAGGCTTCTTGCCCACAAGTTGGTTGCCACCTTTTCTTACCGTCCATCTTGGTCACCTTACGTTCGGCATCACTTTGACTGCCCTACCTGGTGCTGCCTCTGTTGAAGTTGTTGGGGCGTGGCTGGTTCCGGCTTGACCAGGCTCCACCGCTTCCTCCTTCTGTTGCTGATTACGGGGGTTGGAATTTGAGGATAGGACCTGAGTTATGGGCGCCAGCAAACAGCTAGGTGCGGTTTGCGATTCATTATAAAGGAGGGAAGGCATGAGTGGGTGGAAGCTGGCGATTGGTTTGACTAGCTCCTGGCGATGAGTCTCTCCTCAGGTCGGCTACGGGTCAGGCTCGGACAAGTGAGGGTGAAGCACTTCTACCCAACACAATGCACTGTACCACTAGAACACTTTATTGTTTTTCTTACAGTCACTCGGTGGTATAAATTCACACAATCAGATTTAGTTTGGCTTTCAAGCAGCCGGTGTTGCACTTGCTCAGATTACCCGATAAGGTCGACTTAAACCTTCCACTTATGGATTAAGCTAGATCTCTTTTTAAGTGATGAGCAAAATTTACACTTCTAAGAATTATTTAACTTAGCAAGCAAGTATAATCGCGGGGTGTGCCTCCGCCAAGTTCGAAAGTTTATAGCAGACTAAAATCTTAAACTGGACTCTCTGCCGAGCCAGTGGTCCTAACTGAATTGTATCCGCCTATTCTCCTCTCCTGCTAATTTCCCTGGTAGGCCGTTTCAAATAAGGGGAGTTGGCTTAATTTTTGGTTCCGGCCAATGACAGATTGTTTTAGAGGGAGTTTCGGCCTAGAATACCAAACGGCGAAATTGACAGCGATGCAACTTATGAGGGGTCGCTAATGATCTCCTGGCACTCCCACTTTTGACTTATGGCTGGTAGGGCTTGCCGCTGTAAGTCAACTTCTCAATTTCTAAAGAAACTCAGTGGGGTTCCTTGAAGTATCATTTCTGCCCTTTTCGAAAACAACACAAGATGCTTGGACGCAAGGACTAGCAGATGTCCTTGTCCGCGCAAGTTCAGTCTATCTGCTGATCGCCTACTGCTTGTTCTGACTGTGTGTCTTAAACCTGTGTTTCTTTGTAATTCTTATTGTCTACTTGATAAGCTACTGAAATAAAAATAGGGGGTAGGGGAAGGATTTCAATGGTGCAGTTACAATTGCTTGAAGGCATCAGAGCCTCATAGTAGTAGTATCATTGGTGACTAAATGATGCTGTGTCATCATGCATAGTAAACTGTGAATGAAATGGTCACGGCCTTTCACAGTCACTCAGTACCTGTACTGGAATTTGAGCCACATTCCATACCTACTCATCACTAGTCACTTTACTGACTGAAATTATAAAACAAAGTTTTCTACATCACATAGTACCAAACTGAATTTTCGGTTAACCTTGTCTTTTTCAGGTTTGATTGCTACACGCCAGGCACTGGTTTATGCAGTGGTTGATAGCTATGTTTATGCAAACTGGGTGTTTCCAGTTGCAACTGCCATTTTGCTTCCAAATTGGCTCTTGTTTTGGGTTGTGTTACATTCTCGTCCACATCAGGAAGATCTCAAAACAGAAAAATGAAGACTGAAGGAGGAAGATAACTTGTTGAAGGTGATATACAGATTTGCTCTATGAAGATTTTTGTCTTTTGGGATGTAACAGCATGCAGTCTGGTAAAACATTTTGAATGTTGAATGTGCTGTTTCCATCAGGGTAGATTGGTAATGTTCAATGAGACTACGAACTCTCGCATCTAAGAAGACAGTTATCCTCAAAGACACTGCCATAAGAAACTCTAATCTTGCTTCAGTTTCCAATATGTTTGAAGTTTAAATTAAATTTGCAGAGAAAAGGTGGTGTAGTAAATTATACTGATTGTGTTTTGTAGGTTTGAAGATTGGATAAGTGAGCCTCAGTGTTTATGAATTGCTGTTATTTGAAGCACCTGATTTCTTTTAATGAGAGATGAAAAATGAAGGATATCCATTATTTTACCTGCAGAAGTACATAGTTCTGAATAAGAAATTAAGTTAATTGTGAACTGTGAATTATTCAAAAGATACTAACACAGTTTGTACTGGATTTAAATATCTGATGCAACTCTCACTTTCTGGGCCTTTAATTGAAAGGTAAAGAAAGTAAAGTTGTCCCTGTGCTTAATTAGTTGAGCACTATGCCATGAAGACATTGGGGAGTGGATGTACAGCTCCATCTTTGTTGGTCCCAGTATTAATTGGAGATAAGTGGTCAGCTTCACACCCCATCTGCTTTACTCCTGGGAAAAGAGGCTGGGTGGACCCAAAAGTTAGTCTGGATACTGTGGAGGAGAGAGAAATCTTGCACTGCCAGGAATTGAGCCTGGGCTGTCCATCCCATAGACCATCACTTGCTGACTGAGCTATTCCAACTCCAGATGCCTTAATTAAATTACATAAATACTGTGCTGTAGCCGTCTGCTGACGTAGCTGCCATGACTTTCGCTCGAGCTTGGGTTCTTTTTCTCAGGATACGGGTGCTTCGGAGATGGGAGTGGAACACACTTCGGGGTTAATAAATCCGGGATCTCCAGAACACCGAATATTGCACTTTTAATTTAAAATTTCATTCAGTGGTTAATATTTGCATTGTCCTTCAAGCTAGCCACTCCGTCCGCCCTACTCGCTACCCTACTGTTAAACACTTCTCTCTTCTGTATCTACCTTTCAACTACTGTCCTCCTCCACTCCCTATAACCAACTGCCCTATCTTTTCAAGTCCCCCAGTTGGCATCAGAAAAACAAAAAAATAAAAAGAGAAAGCCAAGGGTTGAGCCCGGCATCTGACCTACATTTTAAAGAAGCCCATAAATTTTTGTAGGTCTTCAAGGAATCCAAGACCCCTCCTGGCCGGTCTCGCGCACAGTCAGTTCATGGGTTTATGATACTGGGAGTAAACAGGCGACATTAGGGACAATACTGGCACCTTTAGCCTAAGGAGGACAATAGCTGAATTACAACTAGATGGTCCTGGGATGTTATCTCGCCGGAGGAGCGTCTCTCATGGTATTAAACAATGCATAAGTTGTTCATACCCTTAATTAAATAATTTTGGCGAGGGACGTACAGTTACAGTGCATCTACAAGAAGTTGTATCATTACTCATCTTTCATAAGAATTGCGGGGAATATCCATAAGCTCATGTTAATGTTACTAAAGTGTGATGTGATTTCTTCAGTGGTCTTCTTAAATTTATTTTTCCTTTAGGCTTCTATGCTGTAATCTGTTTAGGTATTCTGTTCTGTCTTGATACATGTTTCTAGTTAATTGGGCAATTTTACACAAACTGAACATTGACTAAATATGTAATTCTTCTAAAACATCTTTGTTTTTGTTTATGGCCTAATTGTGTAGGCCATGTTTTCCTCATAAATTAATTTCTGATGCCCTTGAAGTAACAGGTAAAGACTAAGTACATATAGCTCAGGTAGAGGCCTTGCAACGAGCTGATCACCCACCCAAGGAGTCCTACCGAAAGTGTAAGATTTAGAAAAATCGAAGTGAACAGATAAGTTCATGGAGGTAGGCCTAGGCCCACTGGGGCTGTAGTGCCAAGGGGAAAAAAAAAGTACATACAGCTTGTGAAATATTTAGCATGAGTATTACTAGGATGGGAGACAGTAGGGGCAGAAAATGTGGTACAGAATAAATGCAGTAAGATTTTCTCTATGCTGTTTTCAGTCATGGCACATTCTGTGACACACTTTTAGAGTGGAATCCATTATACAAAATGCACCATAACAGTACATCTGTTGAAACTGATTCAGCTGTTCGGTTGTTACACTGTGTGGATGTGGGCAGTGTTGCCAATGTTTCAGAGATACATACTGCCTCATCTTCAGGGGCAGAGTGTGTTGGGTGGGTGAACTGTGTATACATAGGTTTTGTTTTGAAAGGAGGGGAGCTTGTTCCCAATTCAGGCCAGTAGGGATAATGGATGGGGAAAGCTGTGAAACAGCTGAATTAACATCAACAGTGAACCACTGTGAAAGCCTAAAATGAGTAATAATATATTTATTATAAGTACAGTAATTAAATCATTAAAATAACTATAACGATTTTTTAAATTATTGCTGTCAGTCTAATAGAAAACCAACATGGCATATAGTATTGTGTGACACTCTATTCAATATACACTTCTTATGATGGTTCCAGAATTAACTGTAGATTACTTTAGTTTGGGAGTACTGACACAGACTTGCTTACACACTGACTCTGAACATGGAGACCTAACCTTAATAATGGTACTAGTAAGTTACATTAATGACATGTAGCTCATATATCTGAATACATGTAAATTGTCAAATGGCTGATCTGATTCTCTTTTCTTGTGACGGTAATAAGTTGTAGATAAGCATGTGCTTCCAGCACACTATTTGTGTTCACAGTGAAAGGGCATTGTAATGTTGCTATGATCTACAAATGGGTTTTATTTCATAATAGACATATAACAAGTGGGGACCTGAAGAAATTAAATCTGCAGCACCAGGATCCCTAAAAAGTCCTGTTTAGAGATTTTGTTACTTTAATGATGCAAATTTATTTCTTCATAAAAGTCAGCATTTGGAACAATATAGTGAAAAAATGGGCTTTGTGATATGGGATTTTTTATGATTCGCAGTGAAAACTCAACCTTGTTAACTTTAACAACAAAATGTCCAAAATGAATATTTTACAATGCCCTTTTTATAGTAGTTAAATTTAATGAGATAGACATCTAAAAATGTAATGAATCCAATTCCTGAAATGCCTTGTTTATGTACTTCAGGCAGTGGGTATGGCCAGTCTACACTGGACAAATGGAAATTCAATGTCATTTGCATGCAAAAAGAAGCTGTATCCATTTCTTGACTCATCACAATGTAAACTTGTGCCCATATCTTCAGAATGTACTGAATGAACTTTTAGTTCTTAGAGAAAGTTAAGCCTGTTTCTATGCTGTTTTCCCATCTGCACAAACCAACAGGTACTTTTATTGAAAACAGATTATCATATCTTCAGGTCCCTTCTGAGCACAGTACCTTCTGCTTCTTCTTGCTTGAAGAAATTTCAAATTAGTGCAATTGATTTATAGAAAACAAAAGTAATTTTACATCTCACCAATTTATGACTACTATCAGAAACTGTTCCAAGTAGCTAGTAAAAACTGTTCAGTGAGTGTACATATGTACTACAGTATATTAATGATATTTGTATGATTACTGCAACACATTTACACCTCAAGAACAAGCTGATTTCTTGATGAAATTTATGAGGCCATTTGTTGATGAATCATGGGATGTTACAGGGTTCTTATCAGTGAGCTCTGGTTCAATGGCTTTTGCCAGCTGCTTGCCAAGCTCAACCCTAATGGAGAAACAAACAAGTTACATGAGAATAGGTGATCAGTGTCTTGTCTTGGTGCTTTGCTATGCTAAATGTTATAACAGTCTCCATCTTCTCAGAAATGTACCCTAAATATGAGGACTAGAATCTGCTATCAATCAATCTGTTCTGAAAACTGGGCCATACATTCATCCAATCAACAAACTGTGCCATGCTGTTAAGAGCCAAGAACAGAACTAGAAATCTCAGGGTAATGTAAATTTTCAAGTAACTGATAATAGTTCAAGCAGTTAGTCGCTGGCTTCCCGTAGCGGCCACCCGGGTTCAATCCCAGTCTGGTCAAGTGGGACTTATGGTGGACAAAGTGGTGCTGGGGTAGGTTTTCTGTGAGTACTTCGGTTTCCCCTGCCAATCTTCATTCCACCAATTGCTCCACAATCACCCTCACCTGTCATCTGGGGCTGGTACAATAGGCCAGAAGTGGCCACAGTACAAGGGACTTATTCCCGCCCCTCTAGCAATAATAAAAACTGATAACAGGGTTTATTAAAAGTGTCACATTTTAAATAATTTCAGATTATATATGTACAACTGATATTTTAAATTGCATCCTCAAAAAGTATTAAGACAGTAAATGAATGAATGTGAAGCACTAAACACTAACCCTTTTAAATATGACATTGTAATTACATTCAAAAAGTACAGTCTTTCAGGAATAATTTATAGTCAGATTTCTGGAATGAAAAATAACCTTGTAGAAGGTGTGGTATTGTTTTGTGTGTGTGTGCATCCTGATTGTCACACTGTGAACAGGAATGTGCCCATGAAGGCAGGTTGGCCCTGATAGGATATAAAGGGGTTCTCAGGTGTTCCTTCATTTTACCTTCTAGCACTTTCTTGCATCGTATTATTGTCACATGGCAGAGTGACTATAGATGGGGTCTTCATTGGAGATTGGATTTATTGACCACTTTAACACATAACTTGTGACCTGCATTTACTTATGGTGCCATCACTGACCTCCACACTTTACAAATCACTACAGCACACATTGAGTCTTTTGAAATCATCTTTTCTTCCTCACTGGCTGGCTTTGCCATGTCCTTGTGTTTACCACAACAGTTTTCATTTTCATCCTCTTCTAAGGTAATTTATTTCTTAGTATTTAAGGTCCCAAACAGTTATAAACTTCTGTCTCACCAGTGGGTCAGTCCTATGTTCATGGTGCTTTCCCATGGTTTCAGCACTGCCTCTGAACTTTGCCTCCTGACTTACAGAGCGATATAATGCAGACTTTGGTATGGACGAACTTCTAGCAGCATTAGATAGCTGTCACAACACATCCCGAGGCCCTAACAGTGTCCATAACCTGATGGTGTCTATCTTCCAACCACAGGCATGGAATTTCTGCTGTCCATATACAGTCAATATGGTCAGAGTACTGCTTCCCATCTGTCTGGATATAAACTGTGGATATCCCCACCCTGAAATCCAGCAGGGGTCATTCCCTTGTAGCTACAGGCATATCAGTCTGAGCAGCTGTGTCTGTATGACCATGGAGCATATGGCATAACATCAACTCGTGGAGCCTAGAAAGCAAAAATCTTCTTTTGAATACCCAGTGACACAGATTCACTCCTGATCACCTCATGAACTTGAAGCACCATATCCAGAATTCTTTCATCATGTACCAACACCCTGTCACGGTCCTACTGAACTCGGGATCACAAACAATGGGACCGTTAGCACAGTTGGTCTGTCAGTCACTGCACCTCTGTATGTAGATGTTATAATCTATTACAGTTCCTGTAGCATAGTCACAACACAACACTACAGTTATTTATCTTGTTACACTGGTTCTGCAGAATGGATTTAACTTCTCTGCAGCAAAGATCCAATGTATACACTTTACATGTTGAGGGGTTTACATCCCCCTCCTCCTGTCTCTTCCTCAACAGCACTCTGCCATTTGCTGTCAAGTTTCTTGGTCATCTTCTTGAGAACAAATTGTAATGGGAAGCACACTTACAATGCCTCCACATTAAACACAGTCACTTAACATTTTAAAAGTTTTATCTGGTACATCCTGGGATAGACTCAACAGAGATGCTTTTACTTTAGCATGCCCTGATCCACCCTAAGTTGGGCTATGGCAGCTTGTTTATGGCGTCCCAGTGAGGTCTAAGCTGTCCATCCTAGACCTATTGACAACACCAGAATTGGTCTTGCCACTGGTGCCTCCTATATTAGCCCTCTGGAGTCTATAATGCGGAATCTGGAGAACCTCCACTCTCCCTGTGGAATAACTTACCTCTTTGAGGTAACAAGGCAAAGCTGTCAAGACAGCCCCATCTCCTATATACATTGTGGACTTTCACCCCACCAACTGCAACAAGTACGACATAACTATAAGGGCCCCTCAACATGTGGGCATATGCTTTCACCACCTTCTCAAGCATCTAGATGTCTGCTTGCTGCATATTATTCCCAGAAGACACTCTTGTATCCCACCTTGGTCTCTATTAAGAATTCTTATCTTATCTTTACTGTTGTTTTACCATACCTTCTTACCATCTTAGACCACTTTACAGTTTGACACAAGTTTCATTTTGTTAAATTTCATACTGGGATTTCTGTAAATATGATTTCCCTTCATGATTATCAAGGTGTATAGTCATCGATGCTGACACACCTTGAGACCCACACACAAAAAAGGAATATGCATGCAGTGAGTTTGTGTGAGGGTTTGAAAACTGGCCAGAGAAGCTGACAAAATACAGCCTGCATTTGGAGAACACATTCAGATACACTAGAACATCAGAGTTGTAGGTTGTCACTATAAGAGAACAAGATGTCTGCCAAAGGGACTGTCTTTATCATTACACATGAAGGAAACAAATCATTCTTATCTGTGGCAAAAATTGTAGTGGCAGTCGGTCACAACAAGAATGTCACTCAACTTAAATACAACTAATTACAGAATTCTGATTTTCTTTTTACCTAAATAGGGCATGACCATTACATGAGACCAGTTTACCCTTATGTTAAGGATGATTACATACATAAATATGTTTTTCAATTAAGAGTTGTTAAACTGAGGTATTATTATTATTATTATTATTATTGTGGAGGGGGTGAGTTTCCCCATGCACTTCGACCAGTTGTTGGTCTATTGTGTGTCCCCCTGTAATTATTCTACCAGTCGCCATGCCCTTCCAGTACTGGTGCTCGCTATCAGCCCCGTTCTGCCAGTGAGGTCGGCCACCTCTCTGGCAGTGGTCCCCAATACTTCCCCATCTGCCGGACGAATTTGAAACTACTTGGGCGGGAAACTTTTGCCTAATTTTGCTCAGAGGTCTCCTAGAAACATGAGGATCTTTTACTTGCCGTAAATCTACGACACAGGACACACGGCTTAAACTCCCTCCAGGAAGACTTGTTCGCTGAATTTTTCCGCCCTTAAAAATTCCACGACCTCCACCGGGTTTGAACCCGCATACCTTGAGTCATGAGGTGGGAACATTACCCCTAGACTATGGAGGCTGCTTTAAACTGAAGTATGATCATCCTCTGTTTGTGTGAGTGCCTTACCCATGGAGAGAAATGGGACTAGTCTTAGCCACTGGTACTGCTGCTGTTGCTAATGTTGCAGTTACAGTTACTGTTCTCCTGGCAAGCACAGTGTGTGGATATCTTGGGTTAAGAAGATAAAAATTCATGGTGTTTTGAATCTTACTTACCCCCATTGGTCATAAGAATTGATATCCCATATTACACCTTGAGTAAAGATCTTATGTTCATACAGTGCTGGAATAAAATCAAGAAATAAGTATGGTTAAAAACAGAACCAATGTGGGATAAAAATTCAGTATTATAAGGACTCAAATTTAGCAGTATTTTAATATCTTTTAATACATGCAGTTACAGTGTTGTTGCTAATCCCAGAAGGTAAAGTCACTGAGTGTTTTCGGTCTCACGTAAGACTTAATTCATAATTACTAGTACACTTTCATTACACTGGCTGTCATAGATCAACCAGCTACTTCATTCAGCGTGGAAAACTATAAGATAAGAGTGACGGATGGATGAACAGAAGTGGAAATAAGTCTATGGCATACTTCTTTAAACCTAAGTCACAATTTGTATTTGCATTTCAGTTTTAATCCATTAACTCAGTCTGATGCCTGTTGGGCATCTACCTCTTCTGGTATGTTCACCTGTTCTTATGACACTGAAACATAACCAGATCTGTAAAGGTGAAAGAGTTTACATACACCCTAGTGTAGAAGTAGTCAAGTACAGAAGGTTTGTGATAATTTTTAAGTTGTTATTTCAAAATCCAGAACTCAACTTATCTAGGCATTCTGAGTAGAGGAAACAAGTTGATGGATTAATAGATTTGTCTTTTAACTCTATTTTGGTCCTATGTTGGATTGAGTCTTCCAGTGAAAATTCTGAGTTTGAGTCGTATGTCAAACTGAGTCCGCCACATACTGTATGCATTTTTTATACATGATCTGTAGTCAGTCTGGGGGAGGCAAACAGTGTCAGTATATCATTCAAGCCTTCCTCTGTGCAATGATGTTAACCTTTACTTACTCACTCATGGAGCTGAGCCCTTCTGGAGCAGCTGCCAATTCTGCAGCTACTCAAGAATTTCCCAGCTTTTTATGGAACCTGAAGGTTCATTACTGTGTTCACAAGAGCCCTCCAATGGCCCCTATCCTGAGCCAGATCAGTCCCATCCATACCATCCCATCCTATCTCTCTAAGATCCATTTTAATATTGTCCACCCACCTATGCCTTGGTCTTCCCAGTAGTCTCTATCCTTCTGGCTTTCTCACCAATATCCTATATGCATTCCTCTTCTTCCCCATTCATGCTACATGCCCTGCCCACCTCATCCACCTTGACTTGATCATTCTAATTATGCTTGGAGAAAAGCACAAGTTATGAAGCTCCTCGTTATGCAGTTTTCTCAACCTCCTGTCACTTCATCACTCATCGATCCAAATATTCTCCTCGGCACCCTGTTCTCAAATACCCTCAGTCTATGTTCCTCCCTTAATGTCAGAGACCAAATTTCACACCCATACAGAACCAGAGGCAAAATTATAGTTTTGTATATTCTAATTTTATGTCTTTGGACAGCAGATGAGAACACAAGGTTCTGGACTGAATGGTAGTAAGCATTACCTGAGTTCAGTCTCCTCTTAATTTCCTCCTGAATCAGGTTTTGATTTGTTATCGTCGTTCCCAAATATCTGAACTGTGCCACATTTTCAAAACATCTGTTACCTATCTTTATGTCATGATTTTGACCTGCATTTTGGTGATGAGACAGCAACATATACTTAGTTTTCTCTGTGTGTACTTCTAGACCAACCTCTTTACTTGCGTCAATTAAAGTTTGTGCGTTTTTCTTTATGATATCTACATTATCACCCAGTGAATTCACATCATCAGCACAGACCAACATTCTGCCAGTGCCGTTTAATTTCAGTCCCACCTGGTTTTCCTGGACCTTCCTAAGGCATATTCTAAGGCAAAGTTGAAAAGGAGTGGTGATAAAGCATCTCCTTGTTTTAGACCATTCTGGATAGGAAATTTATAGACAAATGTTTACCTATACGGACTTTACTATATGTTTCGTTTAAACACATTTTAATCAGCCTAACTAGTTTCTAACTAGAGCCCAAACTCTATCAGAATATTGTACAACAGTGTTAACCAACCATTCCCTCGTAATGCTTCTGTGTACTTTATTACAGATTTTGTGAAGTGTGTGCATATTTTTCCTCAGTAGATATATCCCAGTGGTGTCTACCAGTGGGTGTGCACTGGCCAGCAAACAGATCCATGACAACGTGGATTCTTTCACTGAAATTAGTCAGGATGCAGATATTGATATAACTGAGCACAGTGACCCTGATGCTGAAATAAGTAAGCCTGATCTGAGTGACAGTAGTAATTCTGATGGCAGTTGGGCAGGTGCAATTGTAGGTAAAGATGGTGGGGGTGTAAATGAAGAGATGTGTAAGTGAAAAAATAAATGACATCATCTCTTTGAAAAATCGGTAGATTTGGGTTGGGTTGAAAGATGTCGCAATCAAAAAGATGGTGGCATTTCATGGTGTTATACTGAATATGGCAAGACATGTATAATGTTCCATCAAGAACTTTTTCTCCAGTCGCTCGACTCTTCATGGTTCTATAAGGACATATTTTCAAGGTAGAGATTTTTTTAAAATTACACTGGGATTCATGATGCTTCCTCTCCTAGGACGGGAACTTCATATAAGCAAATACAGTCCTGAGCTAGAAAAGTAAAAAATGTAACTGATTATGTTGAATTGAAATTTTCAAAATTTTATAGCCCAACATATTATTTATCTGCAGATATATCAACTGTGAATTTAAAAGGTTGTGTGGTTTTCAGAATGTACAATCCACAGGAGTCAATGAAGTGAGGACTCTGGACACAGTATATAATTGCTGATTCCACAAATGGGTATGACTGTGGCTTGATCCCCTATCATGGATAAACAACTGCAAAAAGTTTGATTCACCCAGAGGTAACCGAACGGAACATAGGACAAGGGAGATGAGATGAGATCAGACAAGACCAGCAGAACCACTCCACTGAGAATAGCGGTCAAAGAGTGAATAGTTGTTGAACACGAAACGTGAGAGACAACACACTAGTCAGGTCACATCGTCAGTCAGGCGTTATTTCATAGTGACTGTAATCATAACTGTAAATGAGTTACCCAATAAACATCTTTGTTTAATCCAGAACCCATAATATCTTGTGTTACTTGGATACGTGACAATATGCATGTACATAGGGGCATGCAGTAGCGTAGTTGGTTGAGGCACTATGCTACAAGCAAGAAGGTCGCAGGTCTGATTCCTGATGAGGTCATTGCATTTTTTCATTTCACCTGGGGCCCTGGGGTTGACTCAGCCTCTAACAGAAATAAGTACCAGGAATCTTCCTAGGGGTAAAGGGCAGCCAGCGCATGAGGCTGACAACCTCTCTGCCATCTGTGAGCTGACTGTCTGGAATATGTGGGCATATATATTTTTTTGACAGACCAATCCACTGACAAATGCATGTTCAGTGATCCTCTTATCATACATTCTTTATATGTAGTGACTTCATCATTTACACTTCACCTCCTGGTGAACGTAGGAACAACAGCTCAAAGAAGACATGGCCCAGAGATTATGAAATCAGATGCTTACACCTCATATATCTGCATGTAATATAAGATATTTCATGTCGCCAAGCTCATACTCAGTGACTTATTCTCTGCCAAACAATAGCAAACAGAAAGGTACCATTCACTATACATCTCACGGTGACAGTCTCTGAAACATATTTCACACAGTCAATATTCAAACAATAGGAACTGTGATACTTCCATCACTCTTAGCAAAATTTCTTCCATTTTATGCAAGTTATAAAGAAAAACAAATTGTACATAATAGCAGTGACCGCATCTGTGGTCTAGTGGTCAGAGGTCCTGGCTACAGATCCAGAGGTCCCAGGTTCGATTCCCGGCGCTACCAGATTTTGAGAGGAGAAGTGGGTCTGGAATGGGGTCTGCTCAGCCTCGTGAGGATAAATGAGGAGCTACTTGAATGGAAAAGTAGCGGCTCCAGTCTAGAAAACCGAAATTAATGACCGTGAGGATTCGTTGCACTGACCACGTGACACCTTCTACCCACTAAATTTGGCACCAACTTCGGTGACAAGCAGCGGTCGCTTGGTCAGTATAGTTCGCTTGCAGACTAAGGCCACACAGTTTGTTTGTTTCTGTTGTTTCATAATAGCAATTGAAATTACACAGCTCAGTGGTATTTAAATAGGCCAGCAGAGAGCAGTAATATTACTTGAATGAGACTGCAAAGGGTTAAGTGCCTGAGAATGAAGAAAACATCAAAGAATTAACTGGGAAGTAACTTACCTAAAAAAAGTATTTCTTTTGTGCACATCTGTCTGATGTGCTGTCTGATATTGACAGCATGAGTGTGATTAGAGACCACTGACCCTAACACGACACCTTACGTGTAATGTTAGCAGTAAAACTATGAACCACATCTGTTTCCATACCAATGAGTGCTCCAAGTGTGAAAGGAGTGATCTTCCTGACAACAATTGAATTGGTTGGTCTGTTTCCTTCAAACACTTTGTGTGGAAGAATTTTCTCCAAGTTGTCACCAGAGAGCCCCGATTTCTCGAGCTCAGACCTGGCCTCTTCCTTTGTCTTCCCTTTCATCAGAGCTTCAGTCTGGGCCAAAAAGTTTGCCAACAGTATCTGAAATCACATATTAATTCATTCATTAATTTATGCAGGTATCGCTACTAAAGTATTTTTATATTTTCCATGCTGTTGTAGTTGAAACTGGTATTAGGGCCATCGACACAATGATTGGTGGGTTGATTATAATTGTATATATGATTGGAATATATATATATAACAATCTTATTATAAATTCCACACAACATGTTTTGGTATGGAGACTATCATCAGGTGTGTCTAATCTTGACTAAACTTAATTACATTCGTAAAACCTACATACCTTATGATGTAAACCACCTTGAATAGGGTTGTGTGTCTGAGCAGGTGCTATAAAATCTGCTGGAATAAGTCTTGTGCCCTGATGAATCAACTGATAAAAAGCATGCTGGCCATTGGTCCCTGGTTCTCCCCACACTATGGGCCCTGTGCTGTAAGTAACACTTTCACCATTGCGTGTCACATATCTAATAGAGAGAAAACCAAATCACAGAAAGATAAAGATGCTGGAAATCAGTCAGCTCCATATAACAGTGCTATAAACATATTACATTTGTTGGGTACACGAGGTGAATTCCAAGAGGAATGACACTTCTGCTCCCCATTCATGAGGCCCCAGGTAAAAGTTGCTCTTTTGCTCACCTTCCCTGCCATGACCACATGCAGGGGCATGGTTGCAAAATTTCATGCACTGCGTTGTGCAGTACTAGATGAATATGGATGGTCAGCTTCACACACTGGGTCTTTCATCTTCAGGGACATATTCCTTGTTATATGCTTTTGGAGATGGTGACAAAAAGAAGAATTCTGCCCCCATCAAGACTCAAACTCTGTTCCTCCTTCCCATAACCAGTGACTAGTGACTGAGCTACCATGACTCACAATTCCAAAAACATGGTGAGGATAGTTTATTGATACAAATCCTTAAGTGACAGTCAATGGGAGGCTATATGCGTTGTCACTTGGTTACAGAAAAATATCAGAAAGAACAAATAGAAATGTTTAAAAAGGATATTTGCTACAAGAAAATAGTATAAGAGAAATATAACATATGAAGGTTACTAAACATTTAGCATAGGTACTGATAAATAAATATATATTGTGACATGTTGTGCTATGGATGGTGCCCCTCCCTCCCCGCCAGCCGTGACGTGCCAAGCGGAGCCGAAGTGAGCCGAGTCCCAGCACGCTGGTCGCTATGCAAAAAGAGTAAACACCAGTTGCTAAGCAAAGTGGGTAAACAGTGGTAGTGAGAGACGACGGTAATAACAGCGGTACCCATTACATAACAGGCAAACACGGCGTCAGACAACAGTGGTGCCTATTACGTAACTGTTTTCCCGTTGTCCGGCTGAGGGTTTATAAGGGAACTACACAGCTGCCGAAGACAGTTCTCAAGGCAGCAGCCCACTAGTTGAGTTGGAATCTAGCCAGCAGTGAGCCATTAGAGTTGAGTTGGAATATAGCAGCCGTTGCGGAAAGAAGAACCGGACGTGTGTGTGATAATCAGTGATAGTTTGTGATAAGTGAGTAATAATTGGGAGTGTGTGATACAGTGACACTTGTATAGCTCCCGTATCGTAATTAATACGTGTAGCCTACTGAGGACAGAGTGAACTGATTAGTGCATAGGGTTTGTAAACTGTGGAAACCTGCAACAGTGTTGTAATTAATTGTAGCCGATACTTGTAGGTTGTTAAATAAACCAATTAACGATCCGAATGGCATCTTCAGTAACGAAACATGTTACACTGGTGTCAGAAGTGGGATTGGACTTAAACACGCCTTAACTCAGGACAAACTATTGAAACGAATTGTACTGCCACACGATGGATATGGAAAAATTGTTTGAACGGCTGGTGCAGATGCAAGACAGAATGGAGGCCAATCGAAAGAAAGACAAAGAGGAAACTCTGAAAGAGAAGGAAGCGATGGAGGCCAATTGAAAGAAAGACAAAGAGGATTTCCTGGCAAAATTAGACGCCGATAGGAAAACTGACAAAGAGGAAATGCTGAAAGGAAGCGGTGGAGGCAAATGGAAAAAAAGACAAAGAAGATTTAATGGTCAAATTAGACTCCTATCAAGAAAAGGCGGAGATCGGCCTCAAGGAATTGCTGGCCAGATTGGAGGCTGACAAACAGGCCAATATGAATGCCTGGCAGAAAGAAGTGACAGCTTGCCGAGAAACGATGGAGGCGCATCTAGAAAAATAAGTAAAGATGATACCCTACCAAGAGATGGAGTTACGTCTAGAAGAGGAAAAGCCGGCCACAGTGGACACAAAACCTGCGGCGGCACAACGAGAAGAGGTCCCCATAGTGATACTGGTCAGAGAGACGATGGCCTGCTGAGAGATGGAGGCTGTCCAGAAGAAAAAGAGCTGGCCTCAGTGGACAGGAAACCTGAGGCGGCTGACCAACAAAAGGTACCCATAAAAGATGCTGAAGTAATGCTGGTCGGAGAGCCGAAGAAGAAAAGGCGTAGGAACCAAAATAAGCGAAATATGAAGAATCCGACACGGGGAAGTTGTGGACCCCAGAAGGAGTTGGCCGTAGCCCGCAGAGGGATGAGCTGCCGCATGGAAGTGGCACAGCAGAAGAAAACCAGCAGGAAGGTGTCCCGCCATGCAACAGTGGCATGGCGTCGAAGGAACATCTTCAGGAAATGTTGGACCCGAGGAGATTATGAATCCCGGATGAAGTTGGCTGCCACTCTGAAAACAACACAGCAAGCCATGAACAAACCCTGGGCAACATCAAGAACCTCCTCATCAAGATAGACAGGTGGCACAAAATCTGCCCCATACAAGAAGGACGATAGGAGTACGGACGTGAACCTACGTGGTTTAAAAAAAAATTTTAACTATTGACAATAAAGGTTTCTTAAATAACATCTAGAAACTTTTAAAAACTTTACAACACCAGGAAGCTGCTGTGATTGTGAAACGTTCAACTTTATGCGTACTATGCATTATAGGATATAAGTGTATGTATTTTAAATCAAAACATCTATTGTGATGGTAGTTTCCAGTTTGTAATGATGTTCCCTCTGAAGATGGTCCGTAAGGACCGAAACATATAAGGGTGATAAGTTTTAACATAGTAAAAACTTACACATGTCACATTGGACGGAGTGGTTTGTATTTATAAGATTAACATCTACTGAGAATTCTACAGGAAGTCCCATCATTTGTTATATAAGATTCTGTACTATTAACTTCCTCTATTTTTTCCCGTATCCATTTCCTGTCCTTCATGTTATCAAAGGGATACACTGAAGCCGGCATTTGGTGCCTTCTTCCATGCATAACACAAGGAAACTCCTTTATATAGTGCACTACACATCACATATCAAAATCAAAATATTATTAATATTTACAGAATAAATACAATACACTGAAACTTACTTTCCATTTGATTCCATGTCACCTTGTTGGAAATAGGCTGCAAAACGATGCAGATACTGATCGTATGGCAGAAGGGCATGTGTTTCTGCTCCATAGAAATTGCTGTACCAAATTCCCAAGAGAGCTAATATAACAGGAGCCTATGGAAACAGAGGTTACATTATATATTTGGCATAACTGTGTTTACAACTGAAATGAGCCTCTGAGGTGCTGCCTGGTTGAGATGATTTATAAATCAATAATACAACTGCAACCTATACAAACCAATTCCAGTATTCAAAAAAATGCACATCCAGTCATATTGGGATCCTTTTTAAACTAGTTTCTTAACAAGCTACAAGCTAAATCACAGTTATCTGAAGAACTTTCTGAAAGATTTGAACAATGAATTGCACCATCTGATAACTGCAGCTCATTTCTGTTGGAATATGTACTGTCCTGTCACATCAAATTCAATGCCACGTTTTCCATGAAAATTATGCTTCATGAAAATTTTATGAACGGAAATTTACATCCAAATGTCCACCAAGTGGTTATGTTGGCATGACTGTCCATACACTACTACCACATGACATTCAACTTTGTATTTTCTATGAAAATTATGCATTAGTAAAAATGTTATCAAGAGACAGTTTTGTTTCTATGTTCATCAAGGAATTTCCAAACCATTTATATTGCCCACTGATATATTGGGTTTTTGGACTTTATCCATTGTCCTGGTTTTTAAGATAACTGGTCCAGTGATTGAGGCTAGCTCTTTCTAACGGACCCAACAGATAAATGATATAACCTCCGTCTCAAGTGCAAACAATATATTCTTGTGTCTTTGATCTTGCTCCCTACACTACATGTTTCGGCCTCAGACGGCCATCATCAGGTGTATAACACTCACGTCGCTGTCACACTGCACCCAGTTCAAAATTTAACATCTAAAACACTCTCCCTGTCATTATCAACTTCTACTTCGTTGATAGCTGTCCACCCGTAGATTACTTCACACACGTTAATTTTGAGTTTATTGTAATAGCACCATAATAAAATCTTTAGTTCTAATTTTAAACTTTTAAATTCTTGTCCAAATTTTAAAATTTTAAAATTGTTAGGGTTATTCGCCCTGTGTTTGAAGTGCTGCAGCGGCTAGTTCTTGTTTCCACACTGTATAGGTGTTATCCTGTGTGGTCTTTCTGTGTGCGTGCCGCTGCTATTCTTTACTACGTGTAAATGTGCATCATTGAATGATGCCACCTGTGATGCAAACCATGTGTTAACGACTTCTTTTACCTCACTGTCATCGTGGAACCGCCAGCCACCAAGGAAAGTTTTCAGATGCAGGAACACATGAAAATCACTTGGCATTAAGTCTGGCCTGTAGGAGGGATGATCAAACTGTTCCCAGCCAAATGTCGCAATGACATCTTGCATTGCGACGGCAGTGTGTGGGCGGGCATTGTCATGAAGCACCACAACCCCCGACTAAGCATGCCACATCACTTGTTCCAGATCACACAACCCAGTTTCTTAAGTGTGTTGCAATAGACACCCGTGCTGATGTTGAGCCCTGAGGTAAGAATTCCACAAGCAGAACACATTTTCCATCCCAAGACACTGTGCACATGATCTTGAGAGCTGAAGTGGTCTGTTTGAATTTTTTTCTTTATTGGCCTCCACCCCAAGGACTGCTGCTTCGAATCAGGGGTTATGTGCGACACCCATGTCTCATCCCGTCTGTGCGGCTCAAGAAGTCATCACCTTGCTCACTGTATTGTATCAGAAAGGTCAACGCACTGACCTGCCATTTCATTCTGTCTTCTTCTATAAGCATCTATGGCACCCAGCATGAGCACAATTCCTGAAAACAAAGTTTATTAGACACAATTTCGTGGAGAAGTAACCGCGAAATTTGTGGAAAATGGCAAAACGGTGAATCATCTGTTCTCTTGAATCTTCTCTTCCACTACACACATGGAATCCTCATTAACCACAGACATTCAGCCTCTCCGCGGATCATGGACATTTTTGCATCCTTCATTAAAGTGCCTCACCCTCTCCTTACCATTGAATCACTCATGGCATGTTCTCCATACACCTCACAAAATTGACGAATGTCAACCAGTTTGTTTCCTGCATTCAAGAAATGGATTACAGATCACATTTCACATGCAGCGGAATTCTCGATTCTCTTGAACATTTTAAATACAAAGGATGATGCGTAAATGTGGTTTGATTCTGTATTTCAGCATCCTGTTGCAATTGTTCAAATTAGCATCCATTGTTTATCTTCTGTCAAAATTGCAACACTTTTACATTCCACACTTCAACACTACATGTTTTGGCCTTAAACGACCATCTTCAGGTGTTTTTATGTTACAGATATTTTACTAAAACTGTGTTAAAAACAGCTACACTGCAGTTTGATTGCCTGCAAATGGTGTCCGTCCCTTCCCAAAGGACCAACAAACTCTGCATGCATGCACACAATTGCGACCACTCCAATGGCAATATTTGCAAACAGAACTTATTTTGTGGATACCCTCATATATGTATGGGTATCTTAAGCAAATTCTTTAATAGCATTAGAAGTAGAGAAAGCCTGCATTAGTCTTCAAACATTTATAGCACTTTACAGGAGACAAATTTCAAAGAAAGGACAGTTCCACAGGAAATAAAATTATTACAGTGTATAAGATTTAAAGCTTCTGCAGTGATTGAATGCAATGAAGAAATACTGAGTAACAAGTTGTGGAGTATGGAGTAAAATTTCATGTTACTGACATTATTTCTGTTTCCATCCTTGATGGAGGCAGCGGCAGTTTCTGAAATACTGGAAATTCACTTCATATTGACACAGCTAATAACTGAAGAAGAACATATTGACACAGTTATTAGTATAATGGATGCTGATAGAAATAATGTGGAAATTAATACAAATAATCTATCTTACTCACATTCTTCTCCAGTGGTGCGTTCTGGAAGTGATTATCCATATAGTGTGCACCTTCAAGTAGCTTCTGGAAGTTGTCAAAACTAATATAGAGAGAAATAGAGAGTCCAATAGCTGACCACAGGGAGTAACGGCCTCCCACCCAGTCCCAGAAGCCAAACATGTTGCGCTCATCAATACCAAATTCCTTCACTTTTGGCCCATTAGTTGATAATGCCACAAAATGTTTGGCTACAGCCGAAGGCTAGGAAAAGAAAAATGTATGTTTAGAGCTCTGAAAAATGTTTAAGCCATGCCTTCGCAGTCCTTTGCCCTGTCAACAGTTTATACACTCGTCAGTGATCTGCAGTCTCTGCATGCAGTTGATTAAATATAATATTGTAATGCTCATGAAAAACTTTAAAAGCAACAACAACAAAAAAAAAAGCTTATGAATTGAACCACTCAGAATTAAGCTGGTGTGTTCTCTTATTGGATACAGATTAAAAATCATTAAGAAATCGTTGTATAATTTTAGCCTAAACTTAAGAATGACAGAACACTGAACTAGCAGAATTAAAAAAATATAATAGATGGTAACTTAGCCAGAAAAGCACTGAGGTACAAGCCGTATAAAAGATGACTCTGGTTTTCTAAGTTGACTGAAGCTGGTCCTCAGTGCTTATAATGCTTGTAATATGTTTCTTTCCTACTGCTATGTTAGCATTTGTTCTTGCACATATAAAAAAGTTAGCAGGTTCTTGTAGTTGTAATGCTCTAGACTTGTATTCTGGAGGTATTCAGTTTGAATTTTGACCAGATTACTGACTATTCTGACATTCTTTCTGGACAAATGCCAGGATGACATCTCAGGCCATGATTGTCTCCTTCAAAATTCTTACTTACCATTCATGGTCATTAAAGCAGTGTTATTAAATAATGTCAGACTCAACCACAAAGGCAGAATTGAAAACAAGAATTACACTAAGTTCTACCTTAGAAATCGCATTCCACTTCACAACTTATAATCACAGACAACTGTGTTTACAAATCTGACAGAATTTATGATGTGGTGGTTTTGATGCATATAACAAGTTGGTTTCCTTTCATAAATGTACAGACATTTTCACCAATCAAAAAACAAGCAGAACTCTGTTCAATGCAAGATCAGACAAAAGGACTGAATTTCATTCAACTACTAGTATGATGTCTCAAGAAGCATAATTACTTACATCCTTAGCAGCTTCCAGAAACCACTGTTTAGCAGATGTTGCATTTGTGATTGTTTCCTGTGTTGTAAATGTCTTTGATGCAATAATAAACAAAACAGTTTCAGGGTTGAGTTGCTTCAAGGTTTCAGCTAAGTGAGTTCCATCAATATTGGAAACAAAATGGACCTTCAGTCCGGTTGCATATGGCTTCAGAGCCTCTGTCACCATTAGAGGACCCTTTAAAACACCAAATAAATTTCACAGTCAGAACCTAATTGTACATTATAAACTATCTGCAACACACTGGTAAACAGTATCCAATACACTCACGTAACTCAGGTGTCAGTATGAGGTAACATTAAGGAAATGGAACACATGTGAATATAAATTGACATGCCTAAGCAAAGAGTACATAATTCATAATATGGCATGACCCCATGTTCCTGGGTGATTTGTGATATCACAGTGTTCTTTCCTAGTTATGCCTGGTTCACCTCTGTTAAGTCTGGTGAGGTCAGGTTAGGTTTGCTTAACTTGGCTGCAGTTGATGCAAATCATATTCTGCACTTTAAGTGTAAATTATTAAGAAAGAACAAAACCTATTTGAAAAATGCAGAAGAAATAAGCATTATAAATAATTACATATTCATTTTCATGCATTCTCTACACTTAATATACAAAGTGAATACAAAATGTGAAGGTCATATCTGTTGTCAGAATATTTCATCTCCTAAATCTAAATGAATCAAATTTCATACGGGTGGACTACACAAAAAAATTTTATGCGACTTTCGGTTCAGTCTGTATTTGTCCACTATAACCCTTAACCCATCAACACAGACATTTAAACACCACAGTTGTGAGTGTCCTGCGGTAATATTTTTAAAAAGGGCCCATTTAATCTTTGCTATAAAACAATTTATTTTTCCTAACTTTTGAACTATGCAAGATAAAATAATGAATTTTTCACTGAAATCTTCATGCAAGATGGCTTTATAAGCTTATATTATAACAAGAGTACACTGTATATGAGCAATGGAAGCAACTGGATTGAAGTTGAGCTTTGTGTGGCAAGTCTTGCAACATCCATCTAAACACAACCCTGCTTCACATTCACTACACCAATAAAATAGTCTCTCTCCTTTTCCCATGTTTTGTGCACACCATACATTTTCTTTGAGGTTTTGCCTTCTTTCTGTTGGCAGAAATACACTCCAGGAAGCAGCTCTGTGAGCCTTTTAGGCAGCAGTTCAGTTGATAGACAGCCAAGTACAGGCTGGGGAACACCAGAAATATGTTTTCCCACGATGCCTTGTCCTACTGAAAGCCTAATTTTAGTGAATCCATGTTTTTGTTATCTGGGAGTGACTGATACACGACCACTGCATTATGTACGAGGGGGTACCCAAAAGAAACCGAACTTATTTTTTTTTAACTTGTTTATTCAAATTTTAAGCACAAACCTTCAATCCCCTTCAAAGTACTCTCCACTTACACTAATACACTTGTCTAGTCTTTTATTCCATTTTTCAAAACATTGTCTAAATTCATCTTTTGAGATGCTTGACAGCGCCTCCGTCGTTTTTTCCTTCACCTCAGCAACATCAGCAAAACGCTTTCCTTTCATGTCTCTTTTCATTCGAGGAAACAAAAAAAAAGTCTTGATCATTTCGGGACTCTTCTTTCAAAGCACAGCATGCTTCCACGCGACCTTGTTTTTGTTCAGCAGTCAGCAGTCGTGGCACGAATTTCGCAGCCACCCTTTTCATTCCCAAATCTTCTGTCAAAATTCGCTGAACTGAGCTCCAAGTCACTCCCGACAGCTCCACAATTTCTTCAATGGTCCGTCGTCGATCTTCCTTGATGATTTCACGAATTTTTTCAACATTTTCATGTGTTCGGGCCGTGGAAGGACGACCAGAACGAGGTTTGTCTTCAATTGACATTTCACCATTTTTGAAACGGGAAAACCACTCAAACACTTGAGTTTTCCCCATAGCATCGTCCTTGTACGCCGTTTTTAACATTTCAAGAGTTTCTGTTCCACTTTTCCCGAGCAAAAAGCAGAATTTCACCGCCGCACGCTGTTCACGAAAATCAGCCATTGCAAAAACGACGATCACACAAAACAGTTGTCACTATAAACTCTGCCGAAACTAGTCCTTACCTTCTGAAGCAACGGTAGTCGGCTTATCGACTCAGGAATGTTAGCTCTATGCGCTCATAGCGGCAAAACGCGGTACTACAAAAGCTCTGCCCACAAAAAAATTAGTCCAGTTTCTTTTGTGTACCCCATCGTATTGTGGCACTGAGCAGTCTCTTAAACAATTTCACACATCACTTGGTACCTCTTTCATTACAGCAATTACAGCTATAGCAGTTCATCCTGCAGTTCCACCCCTAACATGTTGACAATGTAATTGCAAACAACCACTGGCTTTGTTTATTCTTGGTTTGCTTTATTTAAAGCCACACCCATTTTGTCTTTGTGGTATGTGGATACTGTAGTCACTTGCTTCCTGTCTTGCCATGCAAGAATTACCGCAACTGAGTGCTGACCACAGTGCTCTCCTTACTTCACTTTCATACCCTTCACTATAAAAAGTAAAGTTGCCCCTGTGCTTAACTAATTAAGCACTACACCATGAAGGCATATGGGGGAGTGCATGTATAGATACACATTTTCTCAACCTCGGCACTAGTTGGAGATGAGTGGTCAGCTTCATGCCCTGGCCACTTTACCATCAGGGAAAGAGCCCCCAGTACCCATTGAATAGGAAATAGGAGACTGGGTGTACCCCAGAGCTGGTCTGGATGACATGGAGAAGAGAAAATTCTTGACCCTACCAGGACTTGAACTATGACCACTTGGTCATCCAGCCCATACCTAGTCGCTATACCGACTATACTAACCCAGCTCACATTCTTCACTATAGGAGGAACATTTTTCCTGTTAACATGTAAAATTCCAACACTTTCTTACCGTGGACTTCATGAATCAAGCCAACTCTGGTGAACAACAAAAACTGACCGTCCACACAGTATGTCCATGACCAAAAAGATTTTCTGACAGTTGTAATACAACAACTGCAGTTTTGTTTGTTTCTGCAGTCACATATTGATTTGTTAGTTCTATAACTCATCCAGTGTAAATAAGAAAAGAACATGCATAACCGAAACTAGCCTCACAGAGTCCATATATTTTAATGCCAAATTCAGCAGGCCTAAATGGTATGTAATGTGAGGCAAAAAAAAAAAGGTAAAGCTATCACTGTAACGGGTCGTGGAGGCTGTGAGACGCTGAGGTTCCCATATTGTCTTTAGACAGTCGGTTCACAGGTTCATCCTAGGGCCAAATATGAAAGGCTGACACTTTCCAGAATTTATTGTTGAGTATTATCTGTTGGTTTCATCTACAAGGAACTGCACAAAGGAACTATATAAAAAATGTTTCCATGTACACACATGGCATCCAGTTCAGTAGTGTCGAACTGGAGACCATACTTTACACAAAATATTTCTCGTAATGTAAGAAATGAGAATATATTTACAACACAAACTTATGTGGCTCCCTTCCCAATTCTACATTTATAATTTCTTCTTCTTGTCCACCACTACTATTATCACTGTCATTATCACTAATTGCATGAGTTCTTGGAGTCACCAGTTGTGTATAATCACTATTAAAAAATGCTATCATTGCACTAAATTCACTAACATTTTCATCATCGAAAACTTAATTCAAAACTTATACTTGTCCAAAATCCGTAATCTCGCAACTTGTTGACTTGAACACCATCAAGTCATGTACTTATTCTGACTGACAGACTCAGTAGCAGGAAATGTGAGGTTGCTCATATATGAACAGAGATTTCATTTATTTCAGGACAAGCCACAGAGCTTAAGCTAACAGCTAATCATATAGTATACACTAAACACAAACAGAGCAATTAAATTCCTGAAGTAACATCAATGGCAAACAATGCTGATGGGTTAAATCACATATGCATGTCCACAATCCCTGAAGAACAGTTTATTATGCTCTTTAACTTACCAGATCAGAACCACCTATGCCAATGTTCACAACATCTTCTATGGCTTTTCCAGTGTAGCCTTTCCACTTTTTGGAAAGCACCTAAAAATATCAAGACATGAAGATCTTTGATAAACTATAAGCTTGTTATTAGCAGATAGAATGCAAACTAGCCATAGACTTCTTAAACATGCTCTAAATCAAGTAACAGTCGACAACAGGGCTATTAGAAAGTTCCTGGACTAGGTAAGAAAAGAAATTCTGGCTTAACTTGGTCAATTTTGGCTCCCATCCCCTTCAAAATTTTCTCCTTGGGAATGTATACAGTGATCCTATTGGTTTTTCTGTGCTTCAAAAGCACCATGGAAGTCATTTTCCTTAATGCTGTTGAGTATCACTTGCAATTCCCTTTGGATGTTGCGCACTGTTTCAAAATTTTGTACCTTCAGTTTCATTTTCAATTTGGGAAACAAAGTGAAATCACAGGTGGCTAAATCTGGCAAGCAGGGAGGATGAGGGATGACAACCATGTTGCTATTAGTCACAAACTCTGTAATTTACAGGGAAGTGTGGGCTGGCGCATTGTCATCATAAAGGAGCAATGGGGCACATGTTCAAAGATCTCTCGGCAAATTCCATAACTGATTCCAATGGTGCCTGCAAGCTCATGGATTGTTTGGCAATGGTCTTCGCTGATGAGTTCTCGAGTTTTTTCAACATTTTCTGTTGTCTTACCCTGTTGGTCACCCTGAACATTTGTCATCTTCAACTGACACTCAACTGGTCTTCCAACATGAATGTCATTCAAAAACTGCTGTCTGACTTAAGGTATGTTTTCCAAAAGTCTCACAAAGTATTTCAAGGGTTTTGGTAGCAGATTTACTGAGCTTCATGCAAAACTTGATGCAGACACATTGCTCCATTTTGCCATCCATCGCAGACAAAACTAAACACGAAGTTGAAAAAGCACTCATGTAAAAACAATGTGTGTTCACAGCGTGGTATCACATGGCAGACTGATGCAATACGCTTACAGAAGTGTGACCTTTGCCTCCCCTCTCATCTTCTTTCACCGAGGCAGTTACAACAGTGATAGTCCGGGAACTTTCTGATACCAACTTGTAAGTCATAAAAAATCTGCCAGATAATCATGATACTAAAACAGAAGTATGCTGCTACTGTGCAGGCTAGGTTGGTCTGGTAGAAGGCTTCCTGCCTAAACAGGGTGATAAACCGATTTTTGAACTGAAGTGAAGAAGCATATTTATTATGGCTACACTAGTTTTTTTAATACATCATAAAGGGGGGAATGCAATGACCTTACTTTAGCAACCATTATGTACACCACAGTTTTGCTTAGTTTCCCTTAGTATCCCTCAATTTATGAAGACAATTTGTTCCATGAAAACTGTTCATTAAGGTGAAAATTCAAACAAACAAAACAAAAATTCTGTGGCTTGAGTCCAAAAGCAAACTATACTGACTGAGGACAACCGCTAGTCGGCAAAGTTAGTGCCAACTTTAGCGGATAGAGGGTGCTGCGTGGTCAGCACAATGAATCCCCACGGCCGTTAATTTCGGTTTTCTAGACCAGAGCTGCTATTTTCTTGAAATATCTACTCAATTATCCTCACAAGGCTGAGTGGACCCATTCCAGACCCACTACTTCTCAGAAAATCTGGTAGCACCCAGAATTGAACCCGGGAACTTAGGATCTGTAGCGAGGAACTCTGACCACTAGACCACACAAACTGAAAATAATATTCACATTACTTTACTAGCAAAATTCACCAACTTGTTCATGAGTTCCAGAAAAATCCCACAATATTTATGTTGTAATAGTAAATAAGCATTCAAATAAGGGCAGTATTACTTGTTTATGATATTTATTGCTAAAATTAAAACTGTATTATTTTATTCACGTTTGGTTTTTACAGCCGATGTAACACAATGATGCAGCTTGTAGCTAAACTTATTCCTGTCTTTTCTTTCTTTGGCTTATCAACGCCTCTTACAACTACTTTCACTTGTCTGGTAGCTATGGTGGGCACAAATAACACAGACATTTATGGATAAAATGCAAGCATCAAGAGCGCAGCTGAATCTGTATGATCACAATGATGTGCACAAACAGACCAAGAAGGTTGGAGATGCACATCAGTCTGTATGTCTGTATTTCTCCACCTTTGCAAGATAAACTTCTTTGGGATGCAAGTAGTTTGTTGTAATGAAAATGAAGTTCACAAAGTGAAAGAAGGGTAAAAATTAACACAATGTCATAGCAAAAATTTTAAATTGAGTGTTCATAAAATGAGGGATACCTGTACCCATTTCCCACCAGACTGAAGTAGGGTCCACCTGCTCCAAATTTACCTCTTCAGTGAAATCCTTCATGTGTGCTAAAACAGCATTTACATCTGGTGTTACATCTTTACCATCAAGAACAATTGGTGTATTACTTCGGTTACGTAGAGCAACATGCAACACTGCTCGATTCTCTGTGAAATTGATTTTCTCTGCACCAAACATAGAATTTCTTGCAGCTTCCACTTTTCGTGCTTTAGCCTGAAACATTTGATCCCAGAAAACACAGTCAAGGTCTGACAACTTTAACTTACAAGAATATGGGTAATTATTTCTTAAATGTAAACTTCCTTAAGATTTAATTTATGTGCAAGCTTTTTAACTAATGTCTTCTGACAGCCAATATTAAGAGCACTACTGTAATTAACACTTACCAGATCAATCAGAAGAGAAAACACTTCATCGTTTATGCGATTTTTTGAGTAGTCTATTAAAATGTCTCCATCCTGTGGTGTGCTTAGAGTCAAACTACAGAACATATACATTTACATATTAATATTAAAATTATCAATTCAATGTATCTTAGTTGCATAAGAACTATGTGGGTTGGTTTATCCTGTCTTAATACATATACTGAAAGGATTAATCTCAGCAAAATCTAACAAGGTATTTAGCCTCTAAGGAACTTAAGTATCAAAACTTACTGAACCGATTACATTTAAATAATATATGGAAGGAAGAGAAACTGCACAAGAGATACATTATTTAAAGATACATGTTTTCACATTTCAACTCTTCTACAGCCCAGGTGCCAAGAAAGGACTGCAAGAAACCTATGACACAACACAATTTGGACAATTCCACAATGCATACAGCATGCACTTAAACTTTAATTTCACTAACCTGACATACTCCTTTCTTATTTGCCTAACTTGTTCTGGATTTGGGTTTCATTTTTGTTAATTAAACCTAATACAGACCAATCTAACTTACTAAATAAACAAACAAAACAAACTCCATGGTTTTAGTCCACAAGCAAATTATACTGACCGAGCGACCGCTGCCTGTCGGTGAAGTTAGTGCCAACTTTAGCAGATAGGGGGTGTCGCATGTCAGNCAGACCAATCTAACTTACTAAATAAACAAACAAAACAAACTCCATGATTTTAGTCCACAAGCAAATTTTACTGATCGAATGACCGCTGCCTGTCGGTGAAGTTAGTGCCAACTTAGCAGATAGGGGGTGTCGCATGTCAGCGCAACAAATGCCCATGGTCGTTAATTTCAGCTTTCTAGACCAGAGCCGCTATTTCCTTGAAATAGCTCCTCAATTAGCATCACAAGGCTGAGTGGACCCCATTCCAGACCCACTACTTCTCAGAAAAAATCTAATACTGCCAGGAATCAAACCCAGACCTCTGGATCTGTAACCAGGGACTCTGACCACTAGACCACAGAGGCAGTCTAATTAAATGCAAGTGGTAAAACTACACATTTTGAACCAATCTTGATATAGTTCCCCACCCCACCAGAATGACGTTAAAATAACTAACTTCATGCAGCTGAGCCCTTCTTGAGAAGCTGCCAGTTGTGTAGCTATTCAAGAACTTCCCAGAATTTTATGGAACCTGTTACTGTGTTCACAAGAGCCCTCCGATGGTCCCTACCCTGAGCCGGATTAATCCAGTCCATACCACCTCATCCTATCTCTCTCAGATCCATTTTAATATTATACACTCACATACATATTGGTCTTCCTAGCGGTCTCTTTCTTTCTGGCTTACACGCCAATGTCCTATATACATTACCCTTCGCCACATTCATGCTACATGCCCTGCCCATCTCATCCTCCTTGACTTCATCATTCTAATTATACTTGGAGAAGAGTACAAATTATGAAGCTCCTCATTATGCAGTTTTCTCCAACCTCTCGTCACTTTGTCTTTCTTTGGTTCAAATATTCTCCTCAGCACCCTGTTCTCAAACACCTCAGTCTATGTTCCTCCCTAAATGTCAGAGACCCATACAGAACCACAAGCAAAATTATAGTTTTGAATATTCTACCTTTTATGTTTTTAGGCAGCAGATGAGAAGACAAAAGTTGGTGGACTGAATGGTACCAAGCATTACATAAATTCAATCTCCCTTTAATTTCCTCCTGAATCAAATTTTGATTTGTTACTCTTATTCCAAAATATTTGAGCTGTGCCACATTTTCAAAGCATCTGTTTACTATTTTTGTGTCATGATTTTGCACTGCATTCTGGTGATGAGATACCAACATATACTTAGATTTCTCTGTGTTTAATTCTAGGCCAACCTCCTTACTAACATCAATTAAGTTTGTGTATTTTTCTTTGTGGTATCTATGTTATCACCCAGTAGATTCACATCATCAGCACAGACCAGCAGCTGATGTGCTCCATTTACTTCCAGTCCCACCTGGTTTTCTTGCACCTTCCTGATGGCATATTCTAAAGCAAAGTTGAAAAGCAGTGGCGATAAAGTATCTCCTTGTTTTAGACCATTCTGGATAGGAAATTTATCAGACAAATGTTTGAATACTGTACAATTTTTTTTTAGTATCTGGCAAATGCAGAAAATCTGATCAGTAGTTGATCGGTTACATTGAAACCCACACTGACCATCCCCAATAATTTCATCTGAACAAGGACTTAACATTGAGAGGATTAAGGATAAAATTTGGTATTAAGTTGATAGCAGTGATACCCCACAATAATTACTACAGTCAGTTTTAACGCCCTTCTTGTGAACTGGCATATGTAACATCCACAAATGATTCACTCCTATTTCTATATATTTCTTTTTGAAGTTCCATCCACACTCGAGTTTTCATGCAGATGCTGAATTTTATGTTGGCATATTTCTTAGAGGCAGTTCCAAGCTTCTTAATCAGAACTGATGAATATGATATAAAGAAAGAATTTATCATAATAATACAAGAAATACTATCATTACTTTACTAAGGTCATTTCAAGGGTAATGTGTTCAAATATTAATATATCTTCTTAATGACAATACTTGCCTGAAATTATCAAAGCGGCGAGGATTCGCTTTCATTAGCTCATATATATTTATTTTGCTTCCATTATCTTTATAATACTGTTTCAATTTCTGCCAGATTGGTTCGGCAACGAGTTTCTGCCTCCCTTCCATCTTTCCTTATCATGGACAACTATATGACTGAATAGTTCATCGACCTGCCGGTAGGCGTGCACCTGTTGTTAACAGCCGTTTATAAACCATTTTTACGCGGAAATGGGCCTGATTGGGAATGATGATGATGATGATGATGAAGAATATAATTATTACGTTACCAATCATTACGATGTATGATGCGTTATGATGGACGTTATAAAGCAGGCATGTCCAAGGCGTCAATCGCGGGACGATTTTTGGTCGATCTCGTAAGCCTATAAGGAAATTATACGTGAAAAGCATGTAAAATCACTTGTAATATAATATAATTATATTCAGATTTTGAAAGGAAAATACGTGTTAAAGTAGTCTGTACTTTCCAAGCATCATGTGCCGTGTTATTTTTACCAATATTTTTGCTTAAAGTGAGGTACGACGATAGGAGGGGATGATAGATCACTGGCAGTTTTGACACCAAGAAGTCGATCACAACACAACCATCACAACCTGTCTGAAGTTGGATTTGCCTCTTATAGAGAGAGCGTCATAGAGGTCATAGAGCGTGTTCATGTCGCGTAGATGAATGCTCGAGATTACAATTAAACGAATGTAATTAGCCTTGCTTGTTGTAGGGAAACGGGATAAATTGTACAAAATGTTGTTAGATATCTCTTCGTGCAGTTAGCTGCCGGCTTCCCATGGCGATGGCCCGGATTCGATACTAGGTCAGGTTATTTGGGATCTGCGGTGTACAAAGTGGCACTGGGGCAAGTTTTTTATGTCACCTTCTGCAACTCTCTTTCCATGAACTGCTTCATATTCAGTAATCATCCTACTTATACAGTCCCGATACTGACAGTCATTATACATGTCATAAAGATTACTGCAAACTAAACGAGGAAGCACATACCGATGAGGTTTCAACTGGTCAGTAGAACAGTACAATGGCATGGTAGATAATTGTAGACCCTGGGTTTATCAAAAGGATGACGTTGAGGCAGCACAAACAAGTTTTACCTGAGGTAACATGACGAGACTTCCCAAAATGAAAACATCCAGTAACAACTTAAGGAATATGGTATCATTCACAAGGCTGGGAATTACCATCACAAATGGCACAGTGTAACCAATGCCTGCAGATTGCCTACAGCACCAGTGAATTATCCCAGGGATGAAGAGGCTTTGATGGCCAAGAAAAAGATGTAGGACTAATAGTGTGCTTTGTTTCAGGGATGTGGAATATAGTGCCCAAACCTTGTGAGAGAGAAGAGGAATATTTTTGTAGGTACAGGATATGGTTCCAGTCCTTCCACATTGCATGCCCAGCTATATCTATGAAGCCTGTAAATAAAAAAGAACATATGCCATATGCTATAGAATGACTCTTAATTTAACTTCATATTTACACATGCTTAACTGGCATTATTGAATGTGTATATGAACCACCTTCCTTATATACTCCTTCAACTGCCAAGCCATCTTTTCACACAAATGTTGGTAGTACTAACTAGACTCAAGTAGTAGAAATTTTTGCCATCAAGAAATAATTTTGGCTGGATGACATTGACCACAGGGGACTGAGGGGGATATGGGCAATAGGCCTTGGCCTTCATCAGCTCTGTACTTCATGGGATTTATTTCTTCCACCTCATTATAAACGTTTATCAACTCTTTCCTGTGTCATTGAGAAATGTTCTTCAATCTTTCATCCTTGACATGCTTCAGTCTGAGACCATCTTCAGAAAGCTATTCTGATGGATACCTTTCTTGTTGTTCATGCAAGTCATTAATTTCTTTCATTTTCCCCTCCTAGTCATCATTCCACCACTGCTCCATACCCATCTATCATTGCTATAGCTTAGGCAGTACTGTATCACATCCTCAGTCTTGAAGCTGGGGCTTCATTTCTAATCTAGTACTTGGTTACAGAATAATGAAGTTACTTGAGGACATTTGCAGTCAGTCATAGCTGAGAAGTTGTGAGTCAAGGGCATGAAGCAGACATGAAAAGAGAGTCCAGGAAGGTTTAGCAGTTAAGAGTACAAGGATGAGAATGGAGTGTGTCCTTAGGAAATTATGAGGACTGAATACAGATTAGGACACAGTAAAGTGACTTAAGACAAAATAAAAAGAGGACTTCATAGCGATTGGAAGCACTAGTTTCTGTGTTGAGATCCGTTGCCAGGATATGACTAGTGAAGACTGCGAATCTTAGTGTGTGTGTGTGTGTGTGCAACAGTGAACTGTAGAGTGTGTACATCAGCAGTAGTGCTGTATTAATTGTAATTAAGAGAGACTGTAAATGAAGTACTAATAAATCCAATCATCCAAACTAGAACCCGATAATTTCACCACATGTACCCCCCCTACACATCACAATATTTTATGTGCAGTCATGTTTCTCAGTGGAGGATTGTCTTCCATTCTGGTAAGCACATTATTTACATGAAGGTCATCTTGCTGACTTTGAGCATATCTGTGCACAGTAAGTAGAAACAATACACCAATCTTACTCAGCTTCTGCATACGCATGATAGTTCCACAGGTAATTTTGGCCTCATTTATGCATACTTCATATAAGGTTTTTCTTTGTGTTGACATCTGCAAGTTGCATTTCAATGTGTAAATACTGTACATACTAAGGATTCAGAATATGAGGTAACTTTGTAATGCTGTAGGCCGCGCCATAGATCAAGCAGTTTGTCGCTGGCTTCCCACCGCGGCGGCCCAGGTTCAATCCTGGGTCTGGTCAAGTGGGATTTGTGGTGGACAAAGTGGCGCTGGGGTAGGTTTTCTCAGAGTACTTCAGTTTCCCCTGCCAATCTTCATTCCACCAAATTCTCCATCATCATAACCACCCAGGCCAGGCTAGAATAGGCCAATCAGTGGCCGCCGTGCCAAGTGGACCCAGTTGGACTCCACCCCCCACTAAGTGAATTACTGTAATGCTGTAGGTAGGCTGATTTATTTTGCTTTAGCCTGTCCCTTCCACCAGCTCCAGTCAATTCTGGAAGAGATAAGTGCAAAGTTGCATTCAGAACCACTACTAAAATATCCACCCTCATTCTGTGGCCTCAAATTTTGTTTTCATGTAATAAAAAACCAGAAGGCAACATACAGACACTTAACAGATATCACAGAAAATACTCAAAGTGGTTACCTTGAAACACCTTGAAGTTCATCAGCAGAAATCAAATCCTTTATCTTGTTTTGGAAAGCTCCTGCAGTGTGTTCTGTACACTTTTCCTTTCATGCTTTTCCACAAATAAATGTCACAAACACTAAGATTGGTGATATTGGAGGTCACAGTCCTGTCATGGAACACCTTTTGTAATGCATTAATTGAATTATGTGCAGCATACACAGCAGCAATGTCTTGTTGAAATTAGCCATACTGTCTTTCATTATAAATCAGCTGTTCCAAAACAGTGCTACCAGTCTGAGGTCACAGTTTTCTTGTAAAACACTGGACAAGTGATTTGCATAACATTTACAGCACATCTCACACCAAGCTTAATATCATGTAAAGGAATCTGGTGTAAGTGCATGGGGATTTTCATCACTCCAGATTTGTGTTCAGAAAATTTATATAATTACTTAAGTGGAAGTATGCTTCATCAGTTATAAACAGCAGCTGCAGATCTATGAGTTCATTGTGTTCATCTTTCAGCATCTAATTACAAAACCAAATCCTCTGTAGAGCATCTGTAGAGTGTGCCCATGCACAACTCTCAACCTGTATGAAAGAAACTTCATCAATTCAGTTGCACTGGAACCACAGCCTACAAACACACCTTCCTTTGTGACAGTTGCCTTACAGATTTCCAAGAGCTCATCTGTAACCCCGCCTGAATGTTTTCAAGCTCTGATTTGTGAGCACTATAGGCTTGTGATGATGTGTTTTATCAATCACTATCCCCATGGTCTGCCATTTTTTAATAAATTTAGACCTGCAAGATTTTGCAGAACAGATAAATCAGGGTATTTGCAGATAAATATTTTCTTGCACTAAGTTCTCTTTTGTACAAACCTCAACAATAAAAATTTTGTGATCAGTCATGTATGTCATTGCTCATAAAGAAAAGAATAAAATCTTGAACTCAGCACAAGTACAACTTCATGCTTCTCTTCCATAACTAAATAACTAGAAGTAGTGGAAAGGATGATGGGTAAAGCAGAATATGTAGCCGGCCTACCTCTGGCATTGTGAAGGATCCTCTTATTCCAAAAGTAGTGCATACTATAGATGTTATAATTAGAAGATGGTCACAAAAATAAGTTGACTTCAAGTAACAACTGCTATGCCGCTTGGCACATTCTACAGCATTATCTGTTGTTCTCTGACTCACATAACACATATCTGTCTATATTTTGTCAGATTAAAGCAATTATTTATAAAACAGAGTTGTCAATATGTTTTGATTTCATACAGCCCTCATTTAAGATTTTTGTGGATTTAAGGTACAGAAATCTTGTCCCTAGGACAAACCTAAAATAGGAAGTTTACTATACAGGGTGTCCCGGGAGGAATGGGCCAAACTTCGGGAGGGTGTTCCTTATGTTAAAGTATGCCGATATAACCCAAAACACCTATGTCCAAAGTTGAACGGTTACGGAGATAATGGCCCGAGAAAAGTGTGGTCTTCTGGCAGGTCCACGCACTATAGCTATCAGCTGAGACCCTTATCTGTTTGTCCTTGAGTGCTGTGAGTCACTAGCCGTAAGCTCATGCGTTACCTACCAGAGCCTACAGATTACGTTGCGGCGGGGTCGTG